GTGGAAATTTATCACGCGCCTGTCACTGAACATACTACAGAGCTGCAAGGCGTTTTTCTGACACAGAGACACTGAGCAGTTCCCTGTGAAGTACATAAAGCTAAAAATACTCATTCATCTTCCTTTTGTCTTGCTCTTAGAAGGARCAAACCTGGGGCCAGAGTGTGGAAAGCATTTGGCAGTGCTGAGCTGTGCTGTAAGCAGACAAATGCACCTTTCTTGGTAACAATACTTGGCCAAAATGCTTTTTTCCATGATTCTTTGCAGGAGTTGTGTGGGGAAGTGGGGAAGCAGGAACAGCTTGTGGTGTGAGTGGCCAGAACCGCTTTGTGCCCAATAACTGGGACTGGTGGGACAGTGCCAGCTTCRGACTGTGCCCAGCAGCCTGAAGTGCCCCTGTGGCTCTGGGGGGATGGCAGTTCATGCTCCTATTGCTATCAACTRCAAGGCAAAAAGCCGATTAAATGATTTTATCAAGGGGATGCTAAAAGAGTAGACACATTGATRTTCTGCCTTGCTCAGCTGAGATGAGAATCTCTTGGGCTGAAGGCCACCACACGTTTGACCTCTGGCTTTCCCACCTGGAAACCCAGCGACTGCCATGTGTAGCAGAACATCCAGCACCTGGTGGCAGCAAATAAGAGCACTACATATCTTGTTCTTCAAGTTTTCATTTTGTGTAGCACATTTTTCTCCTGCCTTGTTTGGAGCTCCCATTTTTTGGCTTTATTTTTCCACAGTCAGATGAAACACTACCACAAGGCAATTGGCTATTTTTAACTGAGTCATAGAAGATTTGGATGTCRGAAAGCAATTATTAATATAATATTCAATTATTTTAGGGCAATCTTCACAGGTTTGAATAGTGAGAAGAATGATGTTTACTTGTGTCAGGGAGGAGCTGCTGGTGGAGGTCAGACAGGCATAGCAATGCTGCTACATCGTTTGGTTTTCCTTCTGATTTTCTTAGTGAAACATGAAAGGTTTCTATTTTTAAAAAGTTTCTACTGTTTTCTAAACACTTCTCCCATCCTCCAGTAAGTGAAAGTGAGCAAAGGTACGGTTTTGAAGACTGATGATGTTACCTGTGAGCTGGTGTGGTTGTATGTTATTGCAARGCACTGTGAGTTTATCGAAAATTACACGTTCTGTGCATTTTGGTTTTGACTACTTGTGAACGTTCATAGATTTCCCATTCCTCTGCATTTGCTTGAAAATGTAGTCTGATTTGCTTGTGTACAAAATACAAATTATTTTTGAGGCAGGTGGCATTGTTTGTTTACTCACCATGTGGTTCTGGCCAGTGCATTAACATTTAGGCCTCTGAACCCCCTTGTTCAACATGAAAAACCTGTGTTTTCAACATGAAAAACTTGGGCAGAAACAGTACTGGAATGCACTAGGAATCCTGGCAAAATTGGATCAAATGCTTAAAGAGGAGCAACACATACAAATGTGGTGTTGATGGGAGATGCTGGTTCTGGAGCCATGGTGTGAATGTTGAAGGGGTTGAAGTTGCAGTGTTTTTAGGACTGGAAGCATTATAAGTATCTAATCGTGACCATGAAAGCAAAATAATGGCAACAAAATTTGCAATTCAAAATAACCTTTAGGTTTGATTTAATGACAAAATAAATGTCAACAAACAGTCTTATAATTAATTATATAAATCAGCAACAGCATTTCTGTAAATTATGGATCTGAACTGCTTTTTAAATATTCCCTACCAAAAAAAGCCAAAAAAACAGCTATCATAGGCATTAGTTGTGCTTGTGGATGCATATGGATATAATCCATTCATGCAAATATCTCTACATGTTAATATGAACACACACACAAACACACACATATATATGCTTCCTAAACCTCGGTAGCTCTGAAAAGGGTTAAGCAGTTTTAAAATTACCTCAACCCACTGCTTAAACATTGTTGCCTTAATTAATAGCTGCTAACACATGAAGGGCTTGTCTTGGCTCTCAGAATATAAAAAAAAAAAAAAAAAAGCAGCATGTCTCGGAGCTCTGTGTACACTGTTTCTTTTCTACTGCCATTTAAATTAATCACCGTGGCTATAACCTGAAAGGTTTGTTATTTCTGGTACAAGTGGACATACCAACACCTGCAGTTTTTACCCAAAGAACCTTCATGTGTAATGTATTGTCTGCGATTTTTTTTWAAAGGAATTCAATGGTTTGGTGGGTTTTTTAATTAAAAGGAATGGCTATTGATAYTTATTAATTACGTAGCATTTCTGAAGGGATTTTGGAATGAACAAATGCAAAATGAAACTTTTGGCAACTAATTATTAATTTAGGTTAGMCGTAGTGAAAGCTACTCCTTCCCCAAGGCGAAGTTTAAAATATTTTGGAGGACTAACACTACCYATGATCCAATATGCAGGGCAATGTTTCTATAATCCATTTTCTAGTTCTAAAAGAATTTCTCCTTCTGGCATAGTGGACAGACTGCATAGACTTGGAGTGGGAATTGGGGAAGAACATCCCACCCCTTGCTGTATTAAATATCAAAGTAATAAAGACAATTTTTTWATCTGTTTCTTAACAGATCAGTATCCATGTAAGCAAAAATGAGTTTTGTGGTTCTAAATTTGGTGAATTTTCCTTACAAACACCACTGTTGCTTGTATTTGATAATCCCATTCCCTGGACACTGCAGCCCCATRGCTGGGTTGTGCACAGTTCAAACAGTAGTTGGACAAAACAACCTGGGTGTGGTGCCAGTTCAAAACCAGTTTTGCACCAATTTGGTTGCCTGCAGGAGCAGGGACCCAGGACTTTTCAAGCTGGGAGGATATAGGGGGAGCAAAGACAGCAGTTGGTGAATCCTTGGGATGGTGGCACTGTTGGAATGGTGGGCAGTGCTCTGCCCCACACCAGAAGGRCACATCTGCCTTACACATCGCTAAAGTCTGTAACCTTGTACTGTCCCTGCAGAGTGGGCAGTACAGTGAATTTGGGGCAGTGCCTTCCTTGTGTTCTTCAGTCTCAGTGTTGAAATGGTTGTGAACTGCAGCAACTGCGGTTACACTGATACACCAAAAGCAGGCAGGAGGGCACAGTGAGCTGCTGCTGATACAGGCGTACAGTCTGAAGAAAAGGAACAGCTGCTCTCAAACTTGGAAAGCAGAGCTGTGCTGAAATTCAGTTACATGACTTTTAGCCTTGGTTGGAGCTCATTGGAASATTTCTACTGCCTCACCAACCATTCACCTTTGCAGCAGCAGCTCCACTGTGGAAGTGTGAGCAGAGGCCAAGGCATGCGGCACGACCTTCACTGGCTGAGAGGAGCATCATCCCCCTAAAGTTGCATTCTGTGCAACTGCCAGCAGTGCGAGTGGGGCAGGTTGTGTGTCATCCACCCACTCTTCCCTGAGCTCTTCTCTGTACACAGCCCCACGGATGCTATTGTTAGGCATGAAAGCTAATTGCTGGTATTTCAAGGCTCCTACCTTCTTATTGCTAAAGCCTGTAACAATAATCACAGCCTATATTCCCCATCTCTTGGCATCAAGGAAACAAGATATGATCATAGGCAGTGTGCTAATGTAATTGTAGTATATAGAATATGAGCTTTTTCTGTGTAAACAGAGGCCCGGCCACATCCTATGATAGCTCTTCCCGCACTCCACGCGCGGGCTGTTCCTCGGCTCACCGCTCAAGTCCCCATTATGGATACATCCACCCTTGTCATAACACCACCTCTGAAACACTCACACCGTTTGGTCCTGCTGCATAATGGTAAGAGGGTGGAATATTAAATTGAAAAAGGCTGTTTAAGTAATGTCAGCAGCCTGACTAATTTCACAAAAGGAAGGAAATTCAAAGTTAAGGCTATGGTATATTCTTATCTAGATGCCTGAAGATTTCTGTGCGTGACAATATGCCCCTAAAATTCAGAGCTGTCCCTTATGTCTTTAATTTCTCCCATTGTGTCGCTCCTTTTTTTTTATTAAACATCAAAGTGAATTCACAACAGAGAGTCAGCCTAGAATTTAATCCTCTAAATACCTTGAAAATAGAGGTTTAGACTAGAAGTACCAATATATACCCTTAAAACTTCAGTGTAATATAAAAGAGATTCTAATCACAACAGATCATTACAAAGAAGAGTAAACCACTTCAAAAAAATTAAGTGTCTTAAATATAATAAAAAGGAATAATTAAGAATCAAACAGGAAGCTGCTATTCTGACAATTTAATGATGCTGAATTGGACTGAAAGAATTGGCTTTGCCACTAAAAGGCAGTGAAAATCTGATAATTTCAAAATGGCACTAAGATCAGATCAAGTGGGTTTTTTTTTTTTTTAAATCAAATGCAGCAAGAACCAGAAAGAAATGGTAGAATTCACCTTAGAAGAACCTTGGAGTGTTTTGGATTCCTAATGCTGCCTGGGGCTGATGATCTTACTMTATCAGACCTACTTAACATCTTTAGACTAGGTCCCTCCTGGCGATTTATGAGCATGTGGAACCTGTGGAAGGTAATGTGGCAGTCCTAATTGCAGAAAAACAAAATAGGGTTGTTCTTTCATTTCTACATGTTAAACAAAAAAACAACCAAACCTCAGGATGTACATAACAGTATCTGGGACATTGTAGCTGATTACACTCGGAGTACAATACRCAAATGGAAGTCAAGTAGCCAACCTGCTTTGGGTTTCTGCATGTAAGAACCAAGATATGCATCTAAACATTTAAAAGCAAGCAAGCTAATCCTACAAAATGCTCACAGCAAGTGTACACCTAATTTGCACACACACTTATCATTACTGTGTGTGAATTATGGCCATTTATTTACTGATATTTTCTGAGCATAACTAGCTGCATTATTACAACCATTAACAGGTTGCCTCGTTGGATTTTTAATTACTCAAGGACAGGTTGGTAGTTTCTACCTCAGAGCCGTAGGAAGCAAACTTGGCAAATTGCTGTAMTTTGTATTGCAATGGAGAATGATGWCACTAATAAGTCACTTGGTATATTGTAAAAATAAATCCAAGAAGGTGAGATAATTTTATTTTTTACAATGTATCATCTCTACAATGAGCAAGTACCTATTTTGGGCATCATCAGCATATTACTGGAACACAAAGGCAAAGCTTCAAACACAGAAGTAAAGCTTTAAAACACATAAGCAATTAGAAAGAACCCAGAGTAGTTAACAATTGTATTTTCCCTCCTTGCATGTTCTCCTGAAGCACTTGTGGAATCTTTTGTGTTCCTCTCCTCTGCGCTGTTCTTAATATGTTAAATGTCATACATGCCACACAAAGTAGTGATTTGATCCTGTTCTCTTGTAGCCCTCTGAATTAAGTACGTGATCAYTGTATGTTCAAACATCACGGACTAAAACATCAGCTATTACTACAAAGTGCAATGGGTCCTTTTATAGCGCTGGCCCATAGTTCAGACTATTTCCAGAGGTGCAGAACTCAYAAGCGCTTTGTCACTCATGAGAACCGTATGTGAAGCAAACAAAAAGCCCCAAGCCCACCCCCGACCCCAATCCCAGGCTGCAGCCCCGGTCCGTGGCAGCTCCCGCCGCATCCCCACTCCTGGGGCTCTGCTGCCATCCTGTGGCAGCCGGGCTGCCGGTGCCGCCGCTCCCCGCCTCCTGCGCTGCTCCTGGCGGCTGCCGGGGCACCCACACCGCCATCCTTCTGCCGTCCTGCAGGGGAGGCGGTCACCTGCTGCCGCCTCTGCTCTTACCAGTCTTGGGTGGATTTCTGCTTGATAAAGCGCAGGGACAAATAGTATAAAAGCAGGAAGCTGMAAATGATGCCAGCGAGGACGAGGTAGCTCACATAGAGTGGGTGGGAGTCCAGGTCCAGAGCCTGAGTGATCTGTAATGACCAATAACACAAAATTAGGAAAAGACACAATTTTCATGCTGGATGAAAYGTGTTTTATGTGTGAACTTCCTTGGCTCCTGCTGCCTTTCCCCTGTTTTTCAGCTTGGGTGTAGCTTCCAGGGTGGTTTGATAGTGTGTTGCAGCTACACTATTCATGTTTCAGAAGAGTACCACTTCTAAACAATTTCATTAAGAGCATAGTTGGGGCTTCTGTAGAAAACAGTGACCCTTTATAATTTTCCTTTTTCTTATGATTTTTTTTTTCCACTAAAAGAAAGGCATAGAAGGAGTGACTGCTGTAAGGCCATCTTTAGGAACAAATTTACAGCCAAGTGTAATGCAACATCATGCATTGATTTGGCAATTGCCAAATTTGAGGCCTACCCCATCTATTTAAACATGGCAGGCATATAAATAGGATTCCAATTGCTTATCAAACATGTCCAACAATTTTTTTACTGACTTACAAGTTTCCCTGGTACTTGAAAAGTAGTGTTCCCAACACTGATTTCATATGTGGTGTCAGTGAACTGAATTTGCATCATTCCTTGAAAATTCCATCTGAGAAAAGAGATTTTGGAAAGCCACAAGGGAACTGAAAAAGAAAATGACAGAAATTGATACACATACAAAACTTGAGACCTCAAATACTGCTGTGCTGCTGCCAAATACAGCAGGTTCRTCTCATTTCTTGACAGCTAGAGACTGTAAACATCTAACAGTTTATTATTGGACAAAATGGTAGATATACTTTACATAGTTACATGGAGATGGGAAATCAAGAGTTAGCTAATATCCATATCCATCAAACTCCCCCTGTCAACTAAATCTTCCTGGAGCTACATCTTCATCKTTTGAATACAATTGTTTTTACTGAAGAGTTTAGAAACCACATAAGAATCACACCTTTCGTGAGTGCTTTTTTGACCAAACTTCTTGTTGCCTCATTTTCAGATGGAGAAAGTGATGTRAAATGTATGATTTAACTGCACTGTCACCATCCAAGAAGATCACTACAAAGGTAAGAATAAACCTGAGCTTTCCTGCACAGGATGCACTTGCCCTCATAACACCCAGTCACTGATAAAAGCCATTGATATTTCATTTTGGAGGGAGGGTGGGAGCTTTGTCTTACCTGTCCAGAGGCTGTCCAGGCTTATCACAAAACCACCACTCAGGTAGAATGATGTGAAGAGGACATTGCCAAAGAAGGCTGAGAGCTGTAACGTYGGCAGCAGAGCTGCCACCCAAAGTGCCATGGCACGGGCACTGTACACAGCCAGCCACACTGACAGGAAGTTCAGCAGGAAATGTTCTGGCTCAGGAACAAGGTTTGCCAGCCAATAGATGGGAACCCCATAAATTATAACAAAAGCACAGTGTTCTGGGAGCTCCCCCAAAATCTGTTTGGGAAGATGAAAAAGAAAATAAAGAGAGAAAAAGGTGAGTGATAATTACAAAAATATATGAGATGCACCTTAATGTACTTTTGGACTGTTTATAAAAGTTATAGGAGATACTSCCTGAAAATGCAAGCATCTCCCTGTTAGGGGTTGTCAGTGACACACAAAAGCAGTCCACAGCAGAAACAAACCCTCACTATTTTTTGTCTCCAGTTTGACAATGCCTGTAACTAATTGTTCAATGGCGAGTATTCTTGTTTCAGATTAKATGTCTTCTCTTGTTACAGGTTTGGGAGCTTCTAAGACTGTAAGACACTTTTGTTGAGAACTGGTRTGCTTAGTAACAGTAATACTGTTACTGACTCATGGCAACTGCAYGTTTGGTCCCAATTTGGTTGAAAGTAGTGTGGGATCAAATGAGACAAATATGGCTGTTGGTCCCTTCCCCACCTTGTCCCAAAGGCAGTCCATTTAACAACTCGATTCATTATAAAACAAAAGGATAACTGGGATTTTCTCAAATATTTAAAGAGGAATATAGAGAGTATTAGTTCTTCCAAAGAAGGTTGCTGCTATCCTCTAATACTAAGGTTGTAACAAATTACATCGATTTCTCTGTGAATAATGTGCAATCTTTGTGACACAAAGCAAAGAATATTTTTCTCTGGCAACCACTAATAAGCATTTAAAATCTTGTGCAGAAATGGAAACCTAAATTACAGATGCCATGGCAGGCAGAACTCATCACAGGCAGGCAGTAACATCACAAAGAAGGGATTATTCAAAACCCTTGTGAAAAAGAGAATGTAGTTTTAAAAAAGTTCTAAATTTAATTCTAGAAACTCTGGCTCTTTGTGCATGTAATACATTGTTTAGCTCAGACCAACACAGGACCAAACAACAACTGGAAATTTTTGTCATTTCTCTTTTACCTTTGCTTTACCATTTGATACGAATGTTTTGTTTCACAGATCAAGATATGTAAGAAAACTTGCAGAGATGCTTCAGTGAAGTAAATATGCAGGTATGTAAAGTTATCTAAACCCTGAAATTTGAGTCTGAGCCAAAGAACCCAGTGAAGATTTCTTCTTTGGCTTTTCAGGTGTGGGATCTCAGCCATGACTTATGGCAAAGATCTRAAGTAGTGTAAAGCTTAATCTATTAATACTAAGGAGGCAAGACTGATAGCCTTAGCTTAGCTGGCAAACACAAAAGAATAAAGTCTGATATGAATGTAATTATTTATACAACAAGGCTTTGGTTTGCTTGTKTTTTCAAGACAGCTGTTTGCATTCCCTGGCAAAAAACCCCAATTACCTTAGCAAAGAAGTATGGGCTAACAGARTACATTCCACCTTCCAAGTCATGATAAAGCATTGCTCTTTCTGAATGACCTGAGGGTAGGAGCAAACACRTTGGGTTGTATTAATAAGTTCATTTTTTTTTCACAGATTTAAGAATTTTTTTTTAAATTTTGATTCCTTATAGCATTTACAAGAAGACTGACACTTACATTTGGCAATAACATCCAAAATTATTGTGAATGGGACTAGGGCACCTAACATGTACAGTAGTGCTGTTGTGTCACGAACAGACAGTCCGTTTTTTTCATGGCCATAGTACAAAAATCCAATTAATAATGACATAAGAAGGGCTTCAAATCCATGGATTAATAATGTTGAAAGATCTCTGAAGTCATTGGAGACTTGACGACTAGGAAAACAGCAACATTGACCATAAGACATAATATTTACTAATGTCAGTTATAKTCACATACATAGCCCCATACAGTATTAAAATCAATTACTGGAACTTGGCTGACTTTGGTTAGAACAGGAGTTGGGGGTCTCTGTTTCTGTAAAGGATTTTGCATAATCAGAGCTATGAAGCACCTGTAACCACTGAGTATTTCAGATCTAAAATGCTGAAAGCCTGAAGAAAGACAATTTTAGTGAGGCATTTTATGCTTCTTTCTTATTATTCAAAATACAAATGGGCATGATACATAACTGTATATGCTGAAGTTTACCTTAATAATATAGTGAACTGCTTTAAGGCTCCTGGTAACTGATCACTTGAATGSTGAGGCATATTGATAGCCTGTTCTGAATTTAAATGGGACCTGCCCAAAATAAAAAGAGAAAAAAAATAAATTAGCACAAGGTGTAACTAGTATTCCAGATCTTCTGTACAACAGTCTTTTCTTTACCTSTGCTTGTTGACTGTGGTCTCAGCATTGTCTTCTTCAGTAACTTTCCATAAGAAATCATCAAAATGTTTGACTTTTTCTATGAACAAGTTGGCAAGGGTGYTTGCTCTTTTTTGGGTTTCCATCTCCTTTTCTGGAGTCTGTTTATCGACAGTGGTCAAATCAACTGCAAGACATGACTTGATGTGAGTCCATGTGCTATAAAAGTGACATCTTGATGATGTGTTCAAAATTAGGGATTTCATTGGGAGCAGACAGTACAACCTGTGTACATGCATTAACTTACAACAGTTAAAACTTTATCAGTCATTTTAGGTAATTAGAGGTGAACACATTGTTAATGTGTATGTTTCTTACCTAGTCATTCAATGAATCACTGAGAGTTTACGTAATTGCTTATTATAATAGTATGAACTACTATTTCAGATTTTTCTAGATTTCATAGTGCCTTGAGAGTCGTGCTGAGAAAAAAAAGTTTGAATTTCCTTCCTGGCATTTAGGTATTTACAATCTTTTATGTGACTTTGACTTAAATCATGTTTTTTCTTCATCTGCAAAATTATRGTTACTATCTTAGTTGTATCTTACAGAAGTGCTATAAACTTTACCTAATACTGAGAAAGTCCAAAAGGAGTATTATCTAAGGACAGCATAGTCATACCAACAATAGTTGACTTAGCTTTTTTAAAAATCTAAACTGACRATAATATTTTCCCATGGTGACCTTCAGTGTAGGTTGACAATATCTGATGTTTTACAGATGCTTTCTGAGAGAACTCTCACTGCACATTTCCTAACTCCTTGCACTGGGCTGGTCATTTTTGTTCAGCCCCTCTTARGAGGAGTCCATCAGAAATTCCTTGCAATCTGTCCTGTGTCTTCCCTTCTGCCATGGTCTCCTGTTTCTCTATCAAACACACAGCCAGCATTTGTGTGTTTCCCTCAGGTGCTCCCTCTTGGTGTGGATCCTTTGCCATCCTGTCCTATTTCCACCTTCCTGCTGCCCATATTTCTTTTCTCTTCCTATGGGCACTGAYTGTGTGTACCATTCAATGGCCTTCCACCTGCCTCTGCCTCCCCATGTCATAGGTTCTTGTCCCTCTAACCACAAGAGAGTAGCTACAGGGCTCCCTCTCATTCTCCATTCCCATACAGGGGTGCTACAAGCCTCCTCCAAGGCTGTGCTTGGCTGAGGACTGCTCTGAAYCCTGATGGGGACAAAGGTCTTTTTTGTGGGGCTTGACACCAAGGTTAACTTGTGTTTATCTCTGCACAGCTGGCACAGCCTGCCACACAGCACASCTGAAGAGGTTACTCCAGAGCATTACAGTTGTCTGAAGTCTGTACCAGGTTTCCTGGCCAACTTGAGTGCAAAGACCTAAGGGCTGGAATTGAACCAGCTGCGGTTAAGAGATTCCTGCCATGAGATTAACAGGGGCAGATTCCCTTTCCACGTTGCAAAAATCAGAAGATTAATGGATTTGAAACCACATAAACTTTCTTTGAGGAGTAAAAAGATTGCTGAGTTGGATTAGGTTGTTCACCCTTCCAGTGTGCTCAGTAGGGCAGTAGTCCTCTTTCCCTTTACCTGTTCCACGTTTGGATGGGACTAGGAGCTATCTTCTGGGAAACTAGCTTTTACATTATCTTAATTGAGAAATTAGAGAAATGTCTACAGAAAGCAGTTGATCTATTTATCTCTGTCTTTCCCAGTCAGAGAAGAAGTTTCAACGTGTGGACAAGTTTCTGCATCTGGCAGGGTTAGGTGGAGCATTTTTTAAAATAGATTTTGTCCGTACCTCTTGTTTTTGCTACATTTCCTGTACTGACAAATAAAAAAYTGAACTTGCTGCAATATTGATTGAGTTACTCATAAGGAATTTCTAAGACAGATATGGTCAATAAAAATCAACGTTAGCTAGAGACTTATGAAAGCAAATGATTTCCAGTAACCCCTTTTTTATGACAGTGCTTGATACTGACCATAGAAATCTGCAGGATTGCTGTACCTTGGGCAGGGATAGCCTAGTTCTGTGAAATACTGGACCATGTCTTTAGCTGTCCCACAGTAGGCAGTGAGTCCAGAACTCATCAGAAGAACCAAATCAAACAGTTGGAAGATATCTGAGCGGGGCTGGTGAAGTGAAAGAAGAACCAATCTGTTTCCTTTGGCCAGTCTGGATAATGTTATCACAAGGTTATGTGCTGTAAAACTGTCCAGTCCAGATGTGGGTTCATCAAGTATGAGGATTCCTGCCAAAGACAGTAAGTTTAGCTGTGGAAAGCAGCACATTTGSTTTGGAAAATATGTTCTAAGGGAAATGGTGCTAATGCATGAAAACATCAGAGAGGGGATTCAATTCTGCAAAATCAGCTGTGGATTTAGCCTCACGTTTTGCTTCTACTGAACACAGTAGAAGATTCTAGTTCACCTGCAATATGAAGCAGCCATATCAGTGAGTTGCACAAGACTGCAAAGAAAATGACCTTCCCTTTTAATACTGCACGTGTAAATGGAGGCAGAGTCAGAGGAAAGGAAAACAATCTCCATGATAAAATAAGCTGGCAGCCTTCCAAAGTAACTTGTGGCATGTGGTCAGATAAAAACCAAACCTTATACTGATAAGTACAAACCAGAGTTCTGCTGTGAGGGTAACTTCAGGCAACTTTGAGTAATCTTYGTGATGGTATTTTTAGAGAGTGGCRGGTGAAGGCTCCTGGGGGGCTCTGCCTTGSTCTGCCTCCATTTTTCCATTAGCAAAGCTCACAGAAGCACAAATGTGTCAGCTGTTGAAACAGTCTGTTTACAGAATTATTCCTGTAATAATTACAGTATTATCTGTGATCAGCACTGATTTCAATTTAAGCCAATGGACCAGCAGACAGTCACTGTCACTAACTGTGCTGTTAGAGAGAGGTAGCCTTTGGCAGAGGTGCAAGGCCTGTTAAGTGTCCTGAGTATGAACTCCTCCAGCTGCCCTGGAAGCAGCCATGTGTCTGGCTCTTCCCTGCAAGCTTCCATCTTCATGTACTGCCCTGCTGTGTCCAAATGGTGCTTGGTGGACCCCAGGGAGGGGTCGGTTGTGCTCACCTGGGTTCCAGAGCAGCTGCACGCCGATGCTCACCCTGCGCCTCTCTCCCCCCGAAACGCCCCGCAGGAACTCGTTCCCCACCCTGGTGTTGGCACACTGCCGCAGGCGCAGCTCYGCTATCACATCTTCCACCTGTGGGGATCCAGGGGGGACAGGCATCAAGCAAGAGTTCATTTGCACAGTCGTGCAKGGATAAATATGATTCATATGGTTAAAATTCATCTGGGTATTTCAGTGCTGGAGACACTTGAAAACAAATCTTGATTTTAGAGGTAACATTTAAAAAGACTCAGCGATCAAAAATGTAGTTCGTCTTTCAGCCTCTCTAATGCTTTCTCTAGATTGTCATTTTTTATGAGCTTTGGAACAATTGCTGGTTTCTATCTTGAAAGACGAGAAAGGTTTATAATTCATAATCTACATTAAAAAATGCCAGATTAGCTGTTCTGACTCCAAACACGCAGGATCTTTTGGATAATTCCTGTCAGACACATTTTTGACAACTTTATTTTTTTCCAACAGCTTAATTACCCTTTTTTTCCTTTGAGAGTCTGAAAAAAACTTTGGAAGACGCAGTTTGGCAACGAACAATAGTGTTTCTCTGACAGTCAGGTGGGGGAGCAGTCGGTCATCCTGCCGCACGTGTGCTATGCATTTCCTCACAAGCTGGGGCGTGCTGGGTTTGTTGTTGATCATGATTTTACCAGACTTGATTTTGCCTCCATGATCCCGGCAGGTTATCACGTCAAGCAAGGATGTCTTTCCACCAGCTAGAAAAATAAAAATTGAAAATTAAGTTCATTTCAAAGGRATCATTTTGAAAAGTGATCTTATCACGGGCAGAGGGCAGAAATTCTTGTTCCTTACTGTCTCTATCTGAGCCCTTTCTGAASTTTTTCCGAAGCCACAGAGACGGGATGGTCTTCAAACAAAATACTGACTATAAGCTCCTGTTCAGGAAARCTCTCCACTCTGGAATGGAGTATGTGGTTTGAACCCTTGTCATTTCTCAGTAGAATTGGGTAGTTGGGCATTGAGGATGGCTCCGTAAACACAAGAAGTATCTCTTATCTCTTTGGTAAATTCTTAGTTTTGAAACATAGGTGAAAGTGGTGTCCCACCCTGGCTGCAGGGCTGGCACCCAAATGTTCAGGAAGAGCTTTCTTTGTGGAGGATTTGTGAATTCAAAAAAAGCAGTTGGATTAGCTGAATGACTAAGGCACTGAATGATTATACAGACAATAAGAACCTTAATMATGATTGAAATAAAAATTATTATGACTTAAATAAGACAAAAAGTCATTTAAATAATTAAGAAAAGCTGGCTCATACCCAGAGGTAAGAAAAGTAAAACAATGAAAACAAAACCTGATTTGGAGTTAAACAGCAAGTGAATTTTTCCTTTTTGTTGTACGATTCTGTATGTAAACACACAGAAATCTCTTATGATTAGATGTCATTTATTTCTAGTCTCCCTGTTCAAAGATTAGCTCCACACTTGCTTTTTAATACATACATCTTAAAAAGRAAACCCATCCATCTGTAAACCACGTATTGCTGTGTTTAAGAGTGACATATTGATTGCCATTGACAATGTGAAACCCATCAGCAGTTTAATCCATTTTRCTAAGGCATTTGATGAAATAGATGATAAATAGCTTTTGAAAATAGTTTGACTAGTTTGCTGAAAGGGGTTTGTGCTCAGTGTATGTTACCTTACAAAGGTGCTATATCTATAACTCAGTATGTTATTYCATCACAAAGCTTTTCCTTTTGTTATCAGGAAAATCTCTAAGGTACAGCTTCACTTACATGAAGGATATGGAAAAATTCCCATGGCAATAGGGAAGAAAACTCTCTTTTTTAGAAATAAAGTTAAAACTTCTTTAGCAAATATGCCTTGCCTTTGAGAGAGAGCATCTTCACTAAATCATTGAACTAACCGAGACTCTAGTGAAGACATAGCATAGGGGTTTTTACCTCACATGTAGGGTACTCTCTACTTTACTTTAACAGGTCCTGTGTCTACTTCTTGTCCACCTTGACCAGTCCCACCAGAAAGTAGAAGAAAAAGACCCCATGTAATAAAGCAGTAACCCCAGACAAAAGAGGAGCTGTCTTTTCTTCTCTGTAAGTTTCTCTTAATTAATGCAAATGCAGTATTTTATCCTGGTAGAATTGTTTCAGTCCAAATGGAATTCCTGCTACGGCTATGCAAATTGACACTGATTTTTCTTATGGGGTCTGGCCTCATTTGTTTGCTGTCATTCTGGGTAAGGTCTGCAACTGGCCTGTTTTGAATCTGAGCCATGAAACTGATCCATGCCCAGTAGATCTGGGGCTGCAAGGCCACAGTTATAACAAAACSGCACTACACCTCAGGAAACAAACAGTAAATTTGTGCAAGGTGTAACAAAATCTGGTTTGAAAATAAATGTTAATTCCCTCCCCGTATCTTTCATTTCCTCATTCATCATGTCAGTTAAAGAATGTATTTTAGTGACACATCCAATAGTTTTATTCTGAACTACATTTTGACATTAAAAAGACTGCAGAGTGTTACTCTTGGTTGTGTACATTTTATCTGAGAGCTGATCATACAACAGATTTGGTTGCTCTTACCCGTGCTTCCTATAATTGCCAGCATCTGACCACTTTGAACTTTTAGATTCAGATTTTGGATTATTGACACCTGGGAACGGGGATCCGATTTCCAGGTCCAGGGCATTTTCATCTGAGCAAGGTTCTCATACCAGGGAATCTGGGATGCTGTGTTAACCTAACAAAGAAAGAAAGAAGTCCCTTCAATTCAAGCAATAAACTATTTAGCATCAAATAYCTTCAAAGTTACATTGTTAGAAGCAAGGCATGTTTTAAAATATTATTGTTCATCTTCGGAAATGCACAGAAGGAAGTTCTTTTCAGCCACCTAGGGTTTTCATGCCTTGCTTCTTGTTCTGTTAATCACTAAAGCTATCTCTGTTCTTTGTTACTTTGGTAATTTATTGCTATTGTARATTTTAAATATTTCAAACTTTAAATATAATTTGAAATTCCATGAAACTGAAAATCGTCAAATCTTTTTCAGATGCCATGGTGAGGAGATGAAAAATTTCACTGGYTCCTTGAAATCCTGCTTGTTAGTCATCTTCTCTTCCACATAACTCATTCTTGCCAGCAAGGGCTCCTTTCATCCCTAGCTGAACAGAAAGTCCCTTTGCTCCATCCCTCAAGAGGAATAATTTCACTCAAGACTGAAACAAAGCAGAGCCYAGAAACAGATCTCTCTTCCTGTCTTATCCCTTAACTTTATTGGATATATTTACAATATWGGGGTTAGTCTGCTGTCAATATTGGAGCCAAGAGTGTGATTCTGCTCACAAAGTGACTGTGCAAMAATTGTGTGAACTTTTTCAACTTTATTTGGCTTTTTAAATGGTTTGTGAAGAGAAGCAGGCATCGCTGGATATGCTTCATATTGAAGGGATGTGTATAAATGACAATTTTTACCTGGTAATTGAGTTCTTTGATCTCCAGAACATTTGATTTTCCACTGTATGTGAAATACAGACTGTTATCTTCTTCAGAGTGAAAAATAGTATCCTGGGTCTTGGTCTGGAAAAGTTGTTAGGTGGATTACAACCGTTAATTACAATAACTAAAGTGCTGTTAAAGTCTGAGTTCAGAAAAGAGGAAGCACAAAGGGGAAAACTTTCATGGGATGTAACAGTATTATTGATGAGTTACTGTAGTGCAAAAGTCTGAAGGGTTGAAGTAAGTTATCAGTTATCTGTTAATCAGCATGAAAYGTACTTTGTTCTAGTGACATGTGTAAGGGCCAAGCATGCTGTGCTGTACTTTTCTAGCTGATTTCAGTTTAAATGGGAAAACTTTCAAAATGGAGATGTCATGCCACTACAAAGAGATTAGATTCCTTTGTTTTGAGGAAAAATTATGTACTTCTTCAGCAGTATTAGTCTACTGAATCAAAATGATGCATATTATAATGGGTGAATTACGGCAGCTAAAAATCAAGGGTCATTGGAATTATTTTCATCATTGAATCCCACACTGATTCATAAACTTGGAGGCTTTATGAACAAATAGGTGTGCAATCACTAACACAGTCATTTCCTTCTCTTTCGTTTTTTAAATTCACCATTTATCAGCTGATAATGTTCTGAGGTATCAGTTAAAATAATAAGAGTCTACTTGCCTTGGTTAACCTCTTGCATACAGCTGCAATTACAAAATCCTTGCTGAGGTAACTTTCTGGCTTTGAGTATAGCTCTGTGTGCATGCCTGCAGTTTTATTCCAGCCAGCCGTATCTCTCTCACAGCCCTGTGCTTTTCCTTCTTGTCAGGCTCACATCCCAGCCAAGGCAAGCGCACTTGTTCTCTGTGTACCAGACCCTATCCTTGCCTGTGGTATCTTTGGCAGAGGATGACCACCATCTCAGTGTGCACCTCCTTCCCTCACAGSACACAAGGTTGATAATTTTTTTCACTCTAGATATGCAGCAGAAAACAGCATCACACCCATCAGCCTGAAAAGCCACAGGAAAGCCCTCCAAAGTACCCCTGCTGCCAAAGCACTCTCTGCTTTTGCTCATGCTAAAGCTAATTTTTAAAAACAAGTGCTCCCCAGCAAATGGCGGGATCCATCTGAAGGCATGTCTTGGGAAAGCCAGTCCAGGCCATGCTCGGGGGCTTTCTCCTCCATCCACACCTTTGTAGATCTCTCTTAGCTCCACCTTCGTGGCACCTGAGCAGGGTTTGCATGGCAGCAGCCTCATACCCAGAGCGCTCTGGTGGGGGTGTGGATGCTTTCTGCTCCCCGTTTGAGAGCTGGAAGGGCTCCGGGCTCACTGACTGACAGCCCGCTGGGCAGGATGGCTGCCTGCCTTTCCCAGCTTCCCACCAATACTGTGGAATAGCAGAGCCCCTTCTGTCCTTCCCCACTCCCCGCAGGTCTCACTCACTGTCGAGCCCTCGCACGTCACCTGGCTGYAGCTGGCATTGTCCAGAGAGAGATTTTCAGTGGTTTCCTTCATGGTGGTGGTGGAAGGTCTCCCTTCCTGCAGTGGTTTGACTGTTGTCTCTGTGAAAGCTGTGGAAAGCCTTCTCCTGGTTGGGAACGCAGTCCTTTCCAGGCGTCCTCACCTCAGCACCATTTCCCCTGGCGCGCCGCGTCTCTGCAGCTGGCATGACCCCGTGGACAGGGAAATAGTCCCCTCCTCTGGCACAGTAACAGCTCGGGCTAAAGGTACATCAGATAGCGGCTTCAGCTAATCGCTGATCAGTTGTTCTCCGGAAAAAGAAAGAACAGGGAGCCCCTCTGTTTTCTTTGAGGTGGCAAGTGCCGGGGGCAGCGACCTGCTGTGACCCGGGCCAGGGGGAGCCGCCCCAGCGCGGTGCCGGGGCAGGCACGGTGGTGGCGCTGGCCGTGGCGGTGCCAGGCAGCCGGCCAGCAGCGGGAGGAACACGGCGAGCTTGCGGAGCCCCGGCCCCCGAGGATGTCGGCCAGAGCATCTCCCACCCTGGAGAAGAGCGKCGGCATCGGGCACACGGGCGAGGCGAAGGCGGCGGGACAGCCCCCCGACAGCATCAGCGTCCAGGGCGTCTCCTACACCATCAGGTGGGGCGGGGAGGGCGCTCTGGAGGGTCCCTGCTCCTCCGCCAGGGCCTGAGGGAGCGGGGCTGGCTCCGGGGGYTCTGGCTTGGCTGCAGGCCGGCCCGGCTGGAGGGATGGAGCCAGGCCCGCCTCACGGCTCAGGGCACAGCTCTCCGGAGGCTCCCCGGGTCTCCTTCACGCGTGTCTGAAGGACTTGCTTTAGAGGAGATTTCCAAACATTGTGCCCTTTCCCGCTGCTTTTCTTACTGTTGCCAGAGGGATAAAGCGAGGCCTTAAGGAAAGGGGCAGGTGGATTAATGGCTGGCAAACACCATCAGCAAATAAAGCCACAKTTCATGTTTGCCCTTTTGGTTGTASTCCGAAAGCCTCTTAGCAATCATTGTGAAAAATGAGCTCAGATCTACTTTTATCTTCCAGATAATGCCAAAGTTAAATGCCTGAGCAGGGGAAGGGGTAACGGGGGAAGGCCTTTTATTTTTCCGTATTTTAAAATCATTGCAGCTCCCATCCCACATGCAAGTAGCTATAAGCCATTCATTTGCTTTATAYTAAATTTTTACATATTCTCTCTCTAATCTTTTATTGGTGTTTGTTTTACAAGAGAGCGTGTTGGCCCATGGTGGAACTTTTCCTTATATTGTAAAAAATGGACCCGGCAAATACTTAAGGATGTTTCATTTCACATAGAGAGTGGCCAGATTATGGGGATTTTAGGAAATTCTGGTAAGTTGTTCCAGTACTTTAAAAGAAGTAACATCAGAGCTAATACCGGCAACTTTCACAGTGACATGAATGTGACAGATCTGTGCTTTAAATAATGAAATTGTGGCTGATTTTAAATTCTGCTTTATAAAMGTGGTGCTTGGTTTTCAGAGTTAAGTCTTCTGTCATCTAACTAACAATTACAACTTCAATAACAGACAAGGTTACTTCAAAACTCAAATGTTTCACTGCAAAGTGTGAATTTGTATTAATTAAATGCTAATTTGCATGCTAGTTTTCCCATTTACTTTCCCTTAATTAGCTTCATTTTCAGGGCCTATTATTTTAAAGTTATTGAGAAAAAAGCCAACTTTCTTCTTTTCATATGTGTCCATCCAAGTCAGGGTACTACTTTTGGAATCACAAAATTAATCTCATCACATGATTAATTTCTTTTGTTTTAAAGGATCTGGGAAAACAACACTTCTGGATGCAATATCAGGAAGACTGGGACATAAAGACAACTTCTTTGGAGAAGTGTATGTGAATGGACATCAGCTGAAGAGGGAGCAGTTCAGAGATTGCTTCTCTTACGTGCCACAGGTTGATTTCTACATTTATTTTTTGGGTACTGTACTTCCTTTTGTGTAGAAAAAGTTACTAGTGTAATGGAGTAGTGGAATGTGAATGTGATTTTACTAGTAAATTTGGGACTAATGAGTTTATAAACTGTATGAATGAGTTAAGTTTGCATGAACAGGGGCACAAAATTTTAATTACTACAGGGCTAACTGCTTCTTCCTCTTCACTTCTTTTTCAGAGTGACACTTTGTTAAGCTTTCTAACCATACAGGAGTCTTTGACCTACACAGCTTTACTAACTCTTAAGAAATGCTCCAACACCTCCATCAAAAAGAAGGTCTGTATTTYACAGTCTTTCCCCAGAAAGGCAGACATGATGTCATGTAATGSTTTTCCCCACCTGCACTTTCCATCTATGGCTGTGTTTTATGTTTGAGGTTTTATAATCCTCATTCTGCACATGGGGAGAGATCCTMCTGCTGAGGACACAAGCTCTCTGGTGGTCCCACCTCTTCAAGGAGCTTGTGCAGGTGCCCCAGGGGATGGATCACCATAATGTTGGGACAAAACCAACCCTCTCACCCAAAGCTGCAGCAGTTACTGCTGCAGGAGATGCTGCTCTTGGTATTGAGGTCGGTTCCCCTTCTCCAGGTGGGAAACACAGTTCTTTGGAGTATTTAGGGCCATGTGTGCCAAGTCTCATGGGCAGCAGAACTAATTTTGACACCACTGTGTCTCCTGAGACAGTACGATGCCTCTCACTAACMACCACAGCTCAAAAAAGCGCTGGTTTAATAAGCTCCCATAAGCTACTTTCTTGATAAAATAGGTGTGTGGCTCTTTTAGAAGTCCATTGAAAGTAAAATTAGGTATTCCTGACCAGAGGGTCTTGCTTTCTGTCTTCTCTCTTCACCAGTCTTCCACTCAGTACTTCATACATTCCCAGAATTGATGTTCCTTCCTGCTCCCTGATTTTGGAAGCTAGAGCAGCTGCTAGAGCAGCCTCATACCTTCACTTCTAGTCCCACCTCTGAACTCTTCACCTCTTAATGTCAAGTGAAACTAAAATTTACTCATTTCATGAATACATGAAAATAAAACCTAACAAATAATTTAAATATTATATTAAAAGTAATCAAATAGAAATTAGGCCAGATACCTTCCAAATAGAATGGATACAAGTAGGATATTGGTAAAGTTATAACTTAAAATTATGGGGTTTCTTCCCCCCTGTTTTTTACCATAGCATACAGGTATCTGAGTTGGACTTCAGAAATTGTAATTATTTTTCAGGTTGATGCAGTAATGGCTGAGCTGAGTCTCAGCCATATTGCTGACAAAATAATTGGAAGTCACAATGTCGTAGGAATTTCTGGCGGTGAGAGGCGTCGGGTATCAGTTGCAGCCCAGCTTTTACAAGATCCCAGTAAGTACCACTGCATGGATTTTCAAAATAAAACACGGCTGTGTCACTTTGTGCTCCTACCACAGACCTCCATAAACCACTGTAAAATGCAAAAGCATTTGCATTCTTTAATTCAGCAGAAGCCAGTCTGGCAATGACAGAAAAGGATAAACAGTAACTGAGATCTGCCATTGATCTGTTAGTTGATCTTGGAAAGCAGACAATTAAAAATCTTAGGGAGTGAACATAGGTTTAGATTCAGATTTATCTATTTTAAGTCTTTCTGGGTCCACTCTTCCCAAATGTTGACTGTGGCCCATTAATTTATCATTTTTKAGTACATTAGAGCCATGCATGTGCAAGCACTGAGTCTTGTAGTTGAGTAGCTACATATGTGTGAGTGTCATGTATGTTCCAGAGGCAAAAAATTCCAATTAATGGAAATCAAAGCTGAGTAACTGTGGAAGGATTATGCATGGGAAAAAAACCTGTCAGTTTTGAGAGAGTATCTTGAAGATGCCAGAATCTCATGGAATGAATGTACGGCACAAATGTATTGGATGGTGGAGTCCTTGTAGCCATGTGGATGTGCTACAGCCACGTATCAGGCAGGGAGGAGCACTTAAATAGCACAGATAGTGAGGTACATCACTGCTACTGGTGACTCCTGCAGAGTTCATTTGGTGGTGGTGTTGCTCAGGACATCACTAAACTCTGTCGTGAACACTATAGTAATTCTGTGTAGGTAAACCTGTAGTGAAAACTCTCCTCCCCTTGCACCCTGATCAAAGTTGGACTTGTGCTGTGCACAGACCCTGTGCTGTGTCTCATCTGTATAAAAATAATGGATTTRGTTACAAGTTTTTCATTTTCATGTGCAATAAAATAATGAAGAAAATGCAGTAACTTGTTCTGCTTGAATCTATGGAATTATATATGCTACATTTTAACAACTCTTAGTTTGTTCTTGACAAATTCTCTGTGTATATATAAATTTAATTCAGAATTAAATTTTAATTAATTTTGTCACTTATATTTACAATTTCATGCTGAAATTTTTCATTATTATTCTTAGAAGCAGGTTTATATATCAAGTCTATTTTGGTAATTTTCAGATTTCACATGAATTTAGAAAAAGAAGTAGTATGCTCTGCATGTTTTGTTTTTTATTGTCCTTATTTCTAGTTATTGAAACTGAACTACTGAAACTAACTAAAACTGAAAGATTGTGTCATGGCAATATCTATGCATACTTTGCCTCACATGTGGAACTTTACCTGTAAAAGTGATTTCTATATTATTTACCAAATTGGCTTTAGAGGTAGAAGCTATACCATTTTCTCCTTGTTTACCTTAATTTTAAAGCTATTCCTTGTTGTTTGGCAGAGGTCATGCTACTTGATGAACCAACGACAGGGCTGGACTGCCTGACTGCAAACCAGCTTGTCCTGCTTCTCTCAGAGCTTGCTCACAGGGATAGGATTGTGATCCTTACCATTCATCAGCCTCGCTCAGAACTTTTCAAGGTAAATGATATCACTCRTTATTGGCTTTTCTACCTGGCTTTTTAGTGCCTAGGTTCTTTTCAGGATGGAAGTAGAAGATCCAGTATAGCTGCCTCTTTTCCTTCCCTTTGCTTAATTAGAGGCTTCTCTTGAACTTTGCAGSTCTGACCTTGTGCTTGTCACAGGGCACTTTGGGACACACATTGCCCTGTGAAAATAGTATGGATTCTGACTGTATGCCTAACCCTTGTGTTATGCAACTACCCAAACTAAAACTACTGGGAGAAGCCATGACAAGGCATGTGGGTACACCTTGGTCACATGCTGGGGCAGCCCTTCCTTGCAGGTTTGGGGCTGAGGAGAGCATTTCTGCCTTTCCATTACTGTTTCTCATTTGCTCTTCTGACACACCCACCACCCACCACATGAATGCAAAMCTCCTCTTCACTGGCATACTGAACGGAGTGTAAATGGAGCCAGAGGGGAGCAATAGTGCTTTTCTGCTCYGAGAGCAGTCCTGGTGTCTTGAGAATATGGATCATAGCTGATGGGAACTTGCCCTGGCAAATGTTCACCTGAAGAGAGGAGCTGGTAAAGTCCTTAAGCACTTCAGGATAATCTTGTCARCAATTTGGGGTTTTTACAGATTGGGGCTATTAAGCACCTAATGGAGTTAGTCAGTAAGTGAAGGTGCATTAGAAGTGAAGTCAGAAAGCCACATTCCTTTTTGTGGTTTACCTCTGTATGCTGCTGTCATTGACAGTTTTGAGAACCACTAAGCTTAAAGATATGTCATTTTGTATAACCACCAAGGAGAGGAGTGAAAGAAAAGACAAACTTCCTTTGAGAGAAATACAGTAAGGAAGTTTGAATGTGTCAAAACTATTTTTCCCATCAAAGCATTTCTAGTACCAAGACAGTAGCTGTACTCAAGAATTAATGCACTCCTGATCTGATCTCTGTGGGGACCAGTGACAGGACCGGAGGGAATGGCCTGAAGTGTTTCAGTGGAGTTTTAGATTGGAAATTGGAAAAATATTTTTAACACAGAGGTGGTTGGGAACAGGATCCCCAGGGATGTGGTCACAGCACCAAGTCTGACAGAGTTCAGGAAGCTTTTGGACAATACTTTCAGGCACATGGTGTGACTTTTGGGGTGTCTTGTGCAGGGCCAGGAATTGGACTGGATGATCCTTTTGAGTTCCTTCCAAGTCAGCATATTCTGTGGTTCTTCATGCATACTGCTAATTTATTCATTTCCCCCCAACAGTTATTTGATAAAATAGCCATCATGAGCTTTGGAGAAATGGTTTTCTGTGGGAACCCTATGGAAATGATCACATTTTTTAGTGGCTGTGGGTATTCTTGTCCTGAACAATCAAATCCTTTTGACTTCTATGGTAAGTTCATCTAAGTTGTTTTGGTAAAACGATTTGTTTTCTTCCCCAAGTTAAATGTTTTTCCAGAGATAGAAATGTGTTCGGATTCTGCTCTGAATTTTAATTATTCTTAGCTCAGAGAGAGGGCATGTTGCCCTCAATGACTATTTAAGATAACCAAATTTGCAGTGATGGGTCAAACTGCCAATAAAAAAGGAATCTCAGCTTCTTGAAAGCTGTGAATTCCTGATGGCATTTCCTTGTGTCTGTGCACTGGATGATGGAAAATAAATTTGATTCCAAAACTGTGGGAAATCCCATGCTCTAATGGACTCTGTGATGCCAAGCAACTGAAGAGAGTTGTTGCATGGAGAGAAGGATAAATGTAGAATAAAAAAGGGGTGACTTGAGGTATCAGTTTCCAGGAATTGTGAGTTTGATGTTTCTGAAAGTTTGGGGAGGGTGAACTATTGGAACAGAACATATGGATGCTTCAGGAGATGATGACAGCAAGCGGTTGGCATAGATTGAGAGTGTTGTTTTGCCAGTTCAGGATGAAAAAATAAAGGTCAGCATAAGACTTTGGAGATGAGGCTTGATTTTGCTTCAGGACATCCATGATCCATACAGGCATGGATTTGAAGAGAATGTGGGTGCGTTTGTATGTGTACACACAGGCATACATGTATATGACRCTTTTTAAAGCCTACCCACCAGGTAGGTTAATTTCTGGAAATACTAGCTGAGAACTAATCAGGGACTTTGACCAATGCAAATAGCTGCATTCAGAGCAGGCAGTGTTTTCCTATTGTCTAGATGGCATTCTAAACTCATTTGAGAGGATGGTTGTTGACATGAAGTTGGAATGGGATAAAGCTGAAAATACTGGTATGACAGTGAGGATAATTTTGCCTTCATGAATTTGAATAGTCTTGAAAAGCATAGATGATTTGAGATTTAGACCCACTTTTAAAAAAGCTTGGTAAAGAGAGTACTGCATTCTTCAGATGTCAACCTTTGAATGTGACAAGAAAGGGAAAAAATACAGTTTAGAGTAAGAAATCATCAGAATATTTAGTCTTTTGAAAATTGGTAGTTTATATTTTTTGTGCGATTTGATGTGAATGAAGGCACAGATTCTGATATCATTTACACCAGCAGCAGAGGAAAATAGATCCTGTGTATTGAGTGTGAATATTGCTGAAATATTACTTGTTTATAAAAAGTACTAAAGCGTGGTAGGCATTAACTATTTGGTCTAGTTAGTAGTCAGTGTTACAGTTCTTTTAAGGAGCACTCAGTTGCCATTTATTTTCTGTGTGACTTCTAGCAAGTCATACTAGCCAAGTTTAAAAAAGYGTATCTGCATTTTGGATGTTCGTCATTTGAGACATGTTTACCATTAAAGACAATTCTGCTGATTTCCAGCTATTACAACACCAGGGAACTATTCATAAACTTAATTGAGGTTTTGAGGACAAATTAAGAATCTTGGACAATGCCCCCTTTTCTTTTGTTGAATTTGTGTTTTGAAGTTGAACAGAACATTGCAAAACTGAAATCTAAGGATGAGAGAAACCTTAGGAATAAATAAGTAATGAAGACATCTTACCACATGTAGAAAAGTAATATAAAATGGGGTAAGAACTAATACTCCTGGGAACAACAATCCACTTTTTGAAACTTTGGGTAATTCATTGCTGGTAGGGAAAAGGGAAATTTCGAAGGTGTTTTAGCACTATTACTGAATCTGTATGACTTGTTAAAATTAAACACACAAATTTCCTATCTGCCAACAGAAGCRTTGCTGGTGTCAGGAATAAGTTTAGGTGGACTTGGTAGAAAGGAGCATTAACTCTGTGAAGTATATAGTTCTCCTAAGTTCCCTGGCAGCCAGTAATRTTTCCTTCAGCTTGGGCTGAGCCTGCTAAGGGAGTATGGCCTGGTGAACATCCTCTAACTTCACATTAAAAGAGAATTATGTCTGTGTAGGAGGTAGGTGAAACCCAGTGCAACAATGCATTAACAGCTCAAGTAGAGAAGAGCAGTGTCTCTGCAGCGTGAGTTCACACTAACAAAAAAATRCAGCTCCACAGTTATGGAGGAGCAGGTAGAGGACAAGAGGGAACCATGGAGCCATGTCTGAGCATTTGCTTGAAAACCTGAGAAATGCACAACCAGAAAGTCATCTCTTCATAAATCTTCAACCTCTGTGCCTTGTCTTGCTCTTGACATCTSTGTGCTGCAAGGAGAATGCTAATGGTCTGACTAGACCATGGCATGGCATTCAGGCCTTGCATTTCCAGATCAAGGACCTGAATTCCAGGATCCTACAGAGGTCACAAAAAAYAGATTTGTTGTGGTTGCAAAGTTACTCATTCATGCTGTATCTAACAAAGAGAAGATTAAAAGAGCCCTTGAATATTTTCAATGGACCTTTTAATCTTCATAGATTTTAGAATGGAGACAAGAAGTTTGTTGTGAGGAGGGAAAAGATAGGAAGGGAAAGTGATGTGAATATAGAGTAAAACTTCATCATTTTACAGTGGATCTGACATCTGTGGACACCCGAAGCAAGGAACGCGAACTTGAAACCTACAGTAGGGTTCAGGAATTTGTATCAGCCTACAGAAACTCGGAGATCTTTAGCAAAGCACTGGCAGCCATTGAAAAAACAAAGTGTATGAAGGAGCTGCCACCAATTCCATTCAAAAACAAAGACTCACCCAGTGGCTTTTACCAAATACTGATTCTTTTACGGTAAGATGTTTTTTCCCCTTTTTTAAAGCTGTTTCTTTTCTTTTCCACTAATCTTTCAGGTTTTATCTCCATGTATAGATGCACTTCCTTGGTAGTTTTGATCTCCCATTGTACTTGTCCCTGTCTTTTTAAATATATTAGCTCTTTGTGGACACTGTGTATCTAAGATTTGTTCAAAGCTAAATACCCTACCAACCTGTGGTCAGTTGTATCTAACAAATCTTTTGTTGCTGTTTTCTTTCATTATCAGGAGAGCAACGAGAAATTTCTCCAGAGATAAGATGGGCATCATCATGCGTCTCCTCCAGAACCTGTTATTTAGCTTGTTCATAGCCGTTTTCCTTCTTAGACTAAGGAATGACGCCCAAGTAGCCGTGCAGGACCGCGTGGGGCTTATCTACCAGTGCGTGAGTGCCCCCCCCTACACAGGGATGCTCAATGCTGTGGCCCTGTGTGAGTTTCTGTCCTGTCTTATGTGCAGCAGCAGGTATTGCTGCCACTCTGTCTTAAATAAGAAACAGTGTTTTTTTTGAAGATAGTAATTTAAAGGATCTTCACTGTTGTAGGTAATGTTAAGAGTTGATACAGAAGCATGAAATTTGATGGAATTCAAAGGAATATGCCCTGATCCCTCCCTTCCTTTCTTTTTTTACAGCTGGCCTTCTATGAAGGCTTTATTCTAAACAGTGCAAAAGATTTGCCTGTGTGTTGCATTTTATAGGCAAGACAAAAATCTAGGTCTAGTTAACGTCTAAGTGAAYTTGAAATCAAACACATGGAAAGGATGGAAATACAAAATAGCTTTGACAGCAATCAAGCATAATTGGATTTATGACTATTATATGATGATTGCAAGGGTTTTTCTCTTACAGGTGCCATACTGAGAGCAATAGTTGTTTCGATTTACAGCCCTAAAAACTGTTTTGCTCATGTAGGGAATGTACACTGCTGTCATCAGCTTGAAATCAGAGCACCTTGATAAATTAGCCAGTGACAGAAGCTTCTTAATTCTTTAATTTGTATGTGCAAAAAGAGAAGGCTGTCCTGCATGCTGTTAAGTTAGGCCTCTTTCATTAAGCTTACCAATATTTGCAATCTGCAGGGAACATGCTTTGCATTTATGGAGGGGGGAAAAGTGATCAGAATGGTCTAGGCAGAATGTTTCTAATCTGTTCTCGAAGTTGTCTTTGTTCTCAGATCATTACTGCTAGCAACAAGTCTTGCTCTCTCTATTTAATGGTAATTTAATTTATTTCTTATATATTTAATTCAGTCCCACCTCTACGTGCCATCAGTGACCAAGAAAGTAAAGATGGCTTGTATAAGAAATGGCAAATGCTTGTAGCTTATATAGTACATTTCCTGCCCTTCAGTGTCTTCAGCGTGGCCATTTTCAGCGTCTTTATATACTGGTAAGCATTYGTAGCAGCTGTTGGATTGTCATTTTCTTTTTGTTTCCAGTGTCAATTACCATGTCAGCAAAAGGCCTCCTGGCATGGCTTCATGCCATTGTCTCTCTGAATGATTACRAAGAAAGTGTAAAGAAAGATGACACAAATTTAGCCCTTCTCTTTCAGGCAGAGCTGAAAACAGAACTTTCAGAGAAAGTAAATCACCAGTTCTCTAGGTAACTCAGAAAATTTTAATGGACCTGGGACAGTTATGATTCTTGTGTCATGACGAAAGCAGGAAGTGTCATTTTACATTACATTGCATATGGAAAGATAGGAAATTCAAAAAARGAAAGAAAAACTTGTAGGTATGTGACAGTTACAAAACTTTTATGTCCTGGTACACTGGTTTAGCTACAGTATATGGAAGTGATGAAATCTGGATCCCTCTCTTACACCCCCCAGAGAAAGGCWGCAATTTCTGTCCTTCATTCTTTTCTAATTATGAGAGATGTCTAGTGCACCAAATTTAATTTTTGTTTTCCTGGGATATTTGCAATCAGACAGCAGTCTATGGTGAAATGTGCCCACTAAGTGCTGTGCTCACCTTGTGTTTGTGACTGCTGCTGAACTGGCTGCTGAGGAAACAGCCATTTGGAAAGCAGATTTCCAGGCTCAGTAACATGCTCCCTCTTTAACAGGAAATTTGTGTGGGCAGAGACTTTGCCCCCATGCTTTGGTTGGCTCRAATACAATCAACAATAAATAGTGTGGCTCCAGTTAATGGATAATATTTACAGGTATTATCTTTCCAATATTGTGGTTGTTTGGAAGCCATCAGTGATGTGTCAAAGTGATTTCACAATGTTCTTAGACCTCTTAGGGCAAGCAGTTTCTGGATGAAATTTTGACAATTTTATCTGTGCAGGACTGAATTTTCCTGGATGGACTRATTTTTTGAGAAGCTTTGACAGTCTCTGCCATGTGTTCTTACAAGCTATTTCTCATTGAGTTTGTGCTTGTAGGGTCAGATAGTTGGGTCATGCAGACCCAAACTCTTACCTGATCGGACACAAAGCAGGTCTGGCCAAGATCAAATAAAGCCTCTTTTGCAATCAAGTAAATGTACTGTCTGTGCAGATTTTCCTAGCTAAAGGTACCTTTGGGAAATGTTCTAACAGTTCACATCATGCTGTTATTTTATTGCTGTAATATTCTCTCTTTGAGCTGGGTTTTTAAATTTTTTTAGGTTTTCTTCTGTTCTGCTTGTACCCCAGATTTACTAGTCTGTGTGTCTCCATAGCTCTGTGTAAAGTATTAGAGCAGCTTAGGGAAAGTGATACTTTTCCTCTAGGACTTTGGAAAGCTGTTTCTTCTGCAGCAACTTAAAGGTTGTTAAATACCTGATAGCTCACTGAGTGTTTAATACTTGAAGAGTCAATGTTCATACAACTATTTATAAGTCATTCTGGTGTTACAAAAACACTACTGGAAAGTCTGTGATAAAATTGATACTTCTATTTTAAGACCATATTCAAACATGGTGGATTTAAAAGAAAAGAGACATGTTGCTCTTGTATTGAGCAACAAAAAAAAAGGAAATGAAATGTCGAATTACTTCCTGTTAGCTAAGCAAAGCATGCATTTTGCACCTAGTGTGAGGCCATTGTGGTRTGAGGTATTTTGGAAAAAGAGTAATATGTCACAATGTAGTAAAAGGTTTTRTCATCTGTCACATACACTATAAGGCTGAATTAAGTTTGCCAAGCAGTTGCTGGCCTTTCTTAACTTTTTAATCTTTAGTACAGATTGKGAGGACTCTTTCCCTTGGGTCAGCTAGGGGAAAACTAGGAACAGTATGTTTCAATAAAGAATGCAAGAGTATGGAGGAAATTGCATTTGTATGAATTACATGGGTGGTGAATTCAATTAGTTTTTAATTTAATTGAGTATATTGTACTTATATTTSCTTGCGCAGTATCAGAAGGGCAGAATCCCATTGTTAATTACCTGCATAAAGATGTTCTTTAAATATGTGACCTACATGAATAACTCCCACTGCAAAGATTCTACAAGAGGCAGCATGTTAGTTTAAGGAATTGAAAAAACATGGTGATTGTCTTGAAACAACAACTTCTACAACAGTTATCTTTGCATAACCCTCTTTAATCTAGATGGAAAAACCTCATGTACGTGCGCTTACATCGTGATAGTAAATGGGTGCCCATTGTGTTAAGATTCCAAACAATATACTGAGGATTAAGGCATAAACGCTTCACTTAATGACCTGTAACTGGAAAAAACCCAAACAGAAACAAAAGTAAAAGCTACTTTTCCAACTTTAATACCCAAAATTTGTGTTTTAAACTTTTTTTTTTTTTTTTCTCATCTTTGTGCAGGACTGTAGGATTGTATCCTGATGCTTCCAGATTTGGGATTTTCTTTGCTGTTGTCCTAGCATCTCACATGATTGGTGAACTACTAACACTTGTTATACTTGGCATAGTTCAAAATCCACAAATAGTCCAAAGTGGAGTGGTGCTGCTTAATTCAGCTGGTGTGATAGTGGGAACGGGACTTGTAAGGTAGGAAAAARTTTTATTTGTTACAGTGGCACTGTTAAAATGAACCAGCTGTGGAAGGGTTTCTAGGACAGTTGGTATGGCAGAAATCTGGTAATGCCCAGGTAGCAATGGAAAGGAAAGCCAGAGCAGCTGTGCTACTTCAGAAGCAGAACTACCTATCTTTTTGGACCTTGTACTAAACACACAAAACAGACACTTAATATCTTTACATATCAACAAAGATACTGAATATTACCTCCAGTTTTTGCAAATAAATTGAAGATAAAACTGAAGAATTAGTATCTGTTAGTTCATATGAATTCTTTTACTGATGCTGACATTACAGTGTGAAATGCTGTCCTCATTTAAGGAGCCTACCAAAACCCCCTGTTCCTACAGCTTTTAGTAACTGCTGGAATTTATCAGACATTAAACATTGGTAATGTTGGTTTAAAAAAAGTTTTCAACTGTCTTAACTAGTATTATTATCCAGTTTAGCCAGTACTTTTCAGTCACCTCTTCTGCCTGTGTAGACTGAAATCTATAAAAATCATTTAGTAGTGTAGTAAATATGTGGGAAAATTGTGATCCACTTGCTCTATTACTGTGCAAATAAATTATTTTGCATTATAAATGCATGAAGTTTGAACAGTTTTGCCCTTGTATTTGACAATACTGAAATTGCTGGGTTTTTTGAGGAATATACCAGAATAAATGTGTAATTGTTAAAAGCAGTTTTCTTAACATGTTGAGCAAGTAGGATATGTCACCTGAGACCCTCCCAATGAAAATGAAGTAAACCTAACAATGGATGGTGTTGTCCTCAAGAAAACCATATGAATCTTCTCAAAATCRATGGTGCTTTATCTATTTAAAGTAGATCTCAGACCACACTTATGAAATAAATCTGGGTTAAGTCTGATTATTTGGTCCCTGCTTAATTTCAGGAAGATGTGTGTTTATAGTGACAAGACAGTTAATCCTGCTACCCTAGTCTAATGCCTTAATGATAACTTTTAAAAGCATTAGAGTGGTTTCTAACCTTATTTTACWGCACAGGCATGGCTAATTAATACTATGAATATTTTTTATTAATCTTCATAGGCAGTGAAGGATGTAAACAATAGCATTGAGACTTGGGTTGCTTTTTTTTTTTTTTTGTCCCTGTTAATTGTTTTGTTGTTCTTTAGTTATAAAGTCTTGAAGTATTTTAAGTGATGAAATTGCCCAGTTTTGTTAAATGTTCCTTCTCATTATTTTTGCTTCATTTTTTGTTTTGTTATTATTGCTGCAATGAATWGCTATTCAGTCTTCTTTAGTTTTGAAGATGGACTGAGGGGGTGGTGGTTTYTTACTTTTGAAGCAATACAAGTAAGGTTTATATTGGGTCTTGTCATTTTCAGTTTATCACTGCCATGTGAACAGCAAACAACCATAGAATTATTTGTGACTGTCCATAAACAAGTCAGGGCTGAATATTATGACACTGTACCAAAGTCAAGGGACAGCCTTCATGGCTGYCTCATCACTTAGCCCTAAAAATGGACTTTGTGTTTGAAAATCCTACAGACAAGGTACAGACAAGAACTGTTTCTCACAGGTTACAAACCACATAAGCTTGTTTWGAGTCTCTTACTATGGAGCAAAGGCCAGCTTAATTTTTCTTTTTCTTTAAGGACCATTGAGGAAATGCCAACACCTTTTAAACTACTGAGTTTTCTTACCTTTCAAAAATACAGCAGTGAAGTCCTTGTAGTCAATGAATTTTATGGCCTAAACTTCACATGTGGTAAGTGTTCAAAAAAAAAAGTCCATTATAAAAATTTTAATGAGATGTTGATGCTTATTTTCCTTCTATGTACATGTATCCTCATAAAACAAAGATAACTTCTSAGTGGTTAAAAGGAGCTTATTAATTAGTAAAGACTGTAATGCCACATCAGCAAGCTAGAATTTGATTCTTTTGTCCCAACCATTTATCATTCTTCCAGTTCTTCATCTTCCTCTTCTTCACCTGTTCTCTTATTCCCYCTTTGGGGGCATTTTGGAAGCTAGGATTAAAATAGGCTGGAAATTTTTTTGAAGCAATGTTACACAAGTAGAGCATCAACAGAATTGCACAATCTAAGATCAAGCATCTGTGTAGGGAGTATTGAGAGGTAACAAACAGCTAACCAGATATCTCTCTAATATTGGAGAGGCTTCAGTTCAAATGTRTTTCCATGATGTATATTGAGCTGCTTGTGTCTGTCAGCATGTGCTTGGCTGGTTGTGAGCAAGATAACCAGCAAAACATTAGAATCAATCACATTGGCAGGGTTAGTAGCTAAAATACATCAGGAGGGTAAAACTTAGTGCTTTGGACCTACCCTAAGATATTTGGGGCTTTGTAGCCAGGTGTCTGTGCTCCTTTCCAAGRCTATGTATTTTTTATCCATTAATCTCTCCTGCACCTCTCATAGATAGCAACAAATCCGTGACTCTGTTAGTACCAATAAACACCTCATTTTTACGGTGCCTTCAGAGAGTCACCATTTCTTGAATTTTGGAGTCCTCAACACRTGAGCACTCTTAAGTCTACCACGTGGGGCAACTTGCTTCTTGAGGCTCCTCCAGAGAATGTGTCTGGAAAGCCATAAATTTGTGTTTGGCATGAATAAAAAAGAGATCTCCTAGTCACCCTTTGTTCTTTCCCTCATAAAGTATGTCATGGATTAACTGCAGAAACATAGGGTTTGTCTGGTTGTATTCCAAAATGATGAGAAATACTGCTGTGGGTATGGCTCTTCACTGAAATGATTTCAGGATAGGTGTATTAAATGCATGAGCTAGAGATTGGAGTCTGTGTTTTAATTTTACTGATTTACCTACAAAAGAAATTGTTTGTTTCTTTTGACAGGTGAAGCCAACAGTTCCACTGCAAATAATGCTGCGTGTATTTTCTCCCAAGGTGTCCAGTTCATTGARAAAAGCTATCCTGGGGCATTGTCCCGGTTCACCATCGATTTCCTTGTACTCTATGCTTTTCTACCAGCACTTGCCATCATAGCAATTATAAGCTTCAAATTAAGAGAAAGAATTATTGACAGACAATGAAACGGTAGCAATTCCAACAATGTCTAATACTACATTAGTATCTTCATTATGGTCAAAGGCTTAAATGGTTGGATTTTAGACAGAATTTAAGTGATTACACATCTAAAAACATATTCATCTTCTCATGTTTGTTTTCATCTTGACAACCAATGTTCTCCTAAGAGTGAAAGTGATCCCTGATATTGATATTCCCCAYCCCTCTCCTCTGGCTGMTCTCCAGATCAGCCATAATCAACAGTATTTAATGTTTTAAAGGACTTTCTGATTTAATTTAGTCAACTGTCACTGACACTCTTTTACAACTTAGCAATGGTGGTCTGATTTTTTCCCCACTATTTTGTTTTTCAACCACTACTAATAAGCAGATGGGTACAACTGMTAGTAAATCTCATTTCTAGAATTGTATTTATGCCTTGTTTTGGTACCATTTTAGGAATTCRTAGAAAGGAAACAAACCAAATACATGTCAAGACAGAATCAAGAAGTCACTCCAATCTTGTACACACTATACAACAGATGAGTAGCAGTAGCTACTCACTCAGAACRGATCTTGCAGCAGTATCAAAGTTGCCTAATATGTTTTTGCCTTATAAATTATGATAAATCAGTGAAAACAGTTATTTATTTCAATTTCTTCTTTTCATTGTCAAGTTCTAGTCTTGTTTTGGAAGCAGTTTATGAATTACAAGGAAAAAAAAAGTTTGTTTAATAACATTTTGGTTTTATTTAATAAAATGTCCATTTAACTAGGGAAAAAGTATAAAAGTTGTTTGTCAGAAGCAATGCCATTTTCATCTTTGGAAATTACTCTCTTGGGCCTCTCAAAATTGAAAACATAACAGACACAGAGTTCCTAAGTTTTGTATCTTATTTTCATGTTCAGTGAAGAAATTAGATTTTGCAGAGAGAGAGATTTCTCCAAGGAGGTAAGTATGTTTGTATCTTAAAATTCTGTAATTATGTAACTAGTTTTATGTGATAGTTTTGAGATGAGGCACTTAATAACAAAGAATTTAAAATCCAGTCCTCAAGGTAATACAGTATTTCCACTTAAATGTGTGAGGCCAAAAGTTTTTCTAATATCTTCATGTAAAATATTCTGAGATACAAATGTTATATCAGAAAAACATCTGGTGAACAAATACGTTAAAAATWACAAATAGCTTTAAATAGCTGGAAAGATACCACATTAGTTTGTCTCTCCAATTTTTATGTGTATGTAGGGTTGATGTGGTTTGCCAAGTGACTGTTCAGGCATTCACTGACAAGTCTGAGCTCTCACGAGACACCTCTGGCTTTAATCTGGATTGTCTTGTGTATTGTCAGAACACTCAGTCCATCTTCCACTAGGGAGGTGTGCATGGACAAAAATCCATTCCTAGGTTAGGCTAGGATTTCACAAGCTTAGGCTGAATGTGAATCAATAATAATTCCAGCACTAACCAAGTATCTGTCAAATTAATTAGACTGACTTCTTAGCATTTGAATATATGACAGTAACATCCATCTTCTAAAGTCTGTGTGACATTATACACTGCRAGAAATAATTCCTGTATTAAACGATATGATTCTGAAACAGAGAGAAAGCACACTTCGGAACTCAGGTCAAAAATAGTTTTAACTCCACTTTATTCTGCCAGTTTTCATTTTATTTATTTATTCAAATATATCCAACAATTATGCAGTAGTTTTTAAGCTTTGGTTCTGAACTACAAAACGATGCCTAGCACACTACTTTCTTATTTTTGGTGGGAAAGCTTGTTTATATTTAAATATCTGCCTAGGGTAGAAATAATCAAAAATAAACTAAACAATGTGTTATAAAATAGGTAGAACTGACTAACGCCAGTCTTCATACAYAAACCCATCTGTGTGCAATCTAGACTTCCTTTCTCCCCACTTTAAAACTCTCTGCCAGTGCCAAGATAAACAAATTTGGACTGAGTGAATAAACAGCTCCTTTTACGAAAAATAACAATAGGGATGCTGAATAAATACTAGTTTTGTAGTTTGATATTACATATTTTCAGCTGCATCTGATGAAATTGTTAATGTAATGTAAAAAATATAAAAATAATTTAGAAAATGGTGATAAACTGAAAACATCTATACCAGTTTATCAGTCGGAGTCAAAATCCATTTCTTTCCAGGATTTAGAGGCATTTCTTTTGTATTGTTCAAGTTCCTAAAAGGGAAACATAAATACATATTAATCTTCTCATGACTAAAAGTTATGAGAAACTTCAGATGCTTAATTGGGAAATGTATGTATATAAAACCACTTTTCACTGTAGAAAAAATGTACTATAGTTTTATATTTAATGAAATTATCYTAAAAGCGCTATTACTTTTGCCACATTTGCTCTTATGTAGGGAGCTACATTTTGCTATACTTGAGATCAATGAAGTGCTAGCAAGGTAAACAAATGACCTAATCTCAGCCAGGTATGCTACTGGGAACACTGATGCCTATAACAGAAGATTCTAGCACTATTACCATCCAACAGTTTCTTCTGCTGAATTTTTTGTAGTGGTGTGTACTATCAGGAATAATTTCTGAAGGATTTTGTCAGAAAAGAAAAAAAAACTGATTTAGGAAGCATTATGACTGCTTTTCATTCAAGAGTCAGGTTTCCAGTATATTTAGAGGAAGAAGATGCTCTAATGAGGTAGTGTCAGATCRAACCATGAACTGCTTGCAAGACAAAAAAAACCTCACCTTATCTTACTTAGATTAGGAAAGAGGTGGACATAAACCAGTACTTAGTATAAATGTAGCAAAGACCTTCAAAAGTGGACGTGGTTTACAATTATTATTTTGATTTTAATAGAATGGACTTWAAGGGAGGTTTTGCTGTAGGCATGCAGGTGCTAGAAGTGACAAAAATAAGAAAATTCACACCTGGTGAATTTGACAGAAGTATTAACTATCAATCCAGTGCACAAAGGGAAGAAGAAATTAAAGGGCAGAACCACAAAGCAATCATCATTTTAAGATTGTATGGAAATAGTAAATAGAATTTTCTCTTGGAAGTAACTTCAGCAGCTTTGTCAGAGGTGCAGAGTTTTCAGAAAGCACCCCAGCTGTATGAGCAGTGAGAACATTTTTAGTTAGTGCACATTCTTCCTGATGGTGTTAGGAGTCTACTGTTAGTCTACTGTTAAGTAACTCCACAGGTGACTGACACAGAACATATTGTGTCTAGACTAAATCCAGTAAGCTGCTGTAGCTACAACTCCATACTACTGAACTGTTCTATCTCTAAGCTGGTCCTTATTCTGTATTTTCACTCCCACATTATTAATATAAAGTAATTATGATCTTGGAACGTACTGAACTGTTGGAAACTGTCAGTAGTTAGGAATAGAAAGAATACTGTGATATTTTAAGGAGTAYGTGTAAGCTGCTTTATGCTAAGTAATTTCAATTTAAAACTTTCTCAAATGCTTCAGGAACAGRTAAAATTAGATAGCAAAGTTTTACATGCAATGACAGTACCATCTGGGAGTCATGTCTACAGGTGTTGGCTAAATAATTAGCCTTGCAGATTTATCTTTCAAGAAAGAGGTAGATCATTTAGCAGAATTCATTTTGCTGTAAGTTTAGCTAGTCAGATTTATCTTTCAAGAAAGAGGTAGATAATTCAGCAGAATTCATTCTGCTGTAAGTTTAGCTGGTCTGGGCAGCAATTCAGAGTAAAGGCAATTCAAAACAATACAAAAAAGCAAATTGTCAATTACATATATTAAAACTGTATGGCTACTCCACTACACATAGGAGTACAGAACAAAATYAGAACTATGAATTTTGGAGGTGTGTCCAAGTAAGGCTAATATTCAAACAGTGGGAAATGTAAGAAAAAGAAAAAATAATTAAATGGAAGATATTTAGAAAAAATTAACCTTTTAACAAATTTCAGTGATTCAGAGATTGTCAGGGAAGTACACTTACCTTATGTGCAAAACAGAAAGCAAAATACATCCCCATAAATCAGAAAAGTAATGCAAAATTCTTTAAAATACTGCTTAAAGATCACCATGGAGACCCTCTTGAAAAAGGGCTCCTTTATGAACAGGAAATTCTATACTGCAAACATGAGCAGAATTCTAGAACAGACTAATGATAGATACAGTCTGCTAAGAGATCATCTCTCCTAAGTGAAAGAAGATCCTACAAAAGAATATATCTCAAAAGTATGCCAAAATCTTCATCCTAGCATTATGCTATTTTTGTTTTGTGGGTACAAGTGTAGGGGGCAGAGATCAGAAATACAAAGTAAAAATAATTGCAATTTAAATGTGCTTTAAATGTGCTCTGAATGCTTTAAACATTATTAGAGCTAGCTTATCACAGATGTCTCAACACTGGCATAAAGTGGGTTTAATTTTTTTTTTTAATTTAATGCTTCTGTACTTCTGTGTTTCTGTAAATTCTTCATCTGTCAGATGGGGAAGATCACACCTAATCTCATAAAGGGATTGGGAAGAAAGACTTAACTGATGTTTGTGAGACACTCAGATAAGATAACATTACCACACACACTCAGAGAAAAAAAAAATTAATACTTTTGTGTTCATTGAAGTGTCTGAATGGCAGGTTGAAAAATAAGGTAYATAAAGAATAAGGATGATGAAAAGAAATGCTGAACAATTGAAGTGAGACATCAGCAAAATAGTATATGATCATGCAATTAAAGACAATACTATAATGTCTACAAACAAGAAGGRAAAATTAAGATTGTTGGAAAAGCCTTAATTGTTGCATTTCCTCTGTTCTGAGTGACTGATAYGTCTTTAACTTTCCATGCAGTTTCTTACTGGAACTACCCTCAATCTGGAACRTGGTAAAAGCAACCAAGTACTGAAACGTTAATTAAAAATCTTAAGCACACAAACTTCAGTAGAAAATTTAATAACAGTGCTCTAATAATGTTCTTTAATTTGGTTTAAAAATGAAATCTTTTTAACCCRTTTGGACATGCTTTCATGTGATTGGCATTCTTGGCAGCTGAGCAAACATCCGAAATAAATTTTTCTCCACGTTATGAAAACAGATCTTCTGCTCTGGAGAAAATAAAAGGCAGTGCTACTCTGTTACCTAGATTAAGGTAGGTGTCTGTTATAATTCTCTGCCCAGTAACACTGGTGTGACCAAGTGGCTTCATGGCACAGTATGAAATRTTTTGTGGAATGAGACTGAAATGGTCTCCTGAAGTTCAGAAATATGTTCATGTCAGCAGAGTTGGCTGAAAAATATGGCTCTCATTCTGTTGGCCAACAMAGTCCCCCATCTCAGCTGCAGATCTGACATGGAGGTGACATCTGGTTGTGAGTGACATGGTTGCAATTTTAGGGGGAATGCAACTATTCTTCCTAGTGAGATGTAGAATCTTCTGCATTTCTAACTTTTAAAAATCTTAACAGTTACACCCCTGTTTGTTAAGATCTGTTTCCATGACTTCTTGTTAGCTGACACCAAATGGCACCAGGCATCTGGTGGTGTTTTTTTGTTTTTATTTTTTTTTGGAGTCATTCATGGCATGAGGCTACTGCTAAAATTGGCACYAATCCCTAAGTAATAGCTCTGTGTAACAAGGATCAAAGGACCAGATGTGAACTTAGGCACTGCATGACTTATGAAGTACTTGAGTAGGAGGTTCTCCTGTTCTTTGAGTTCAAATTTAGCTTTTATCAGTTGCATCAATGTATGAAGCTGGAGTCAAATGTCCAGATCAAAAGGTTTACTTATTTTGAGTTTTCGCAGTGAAGGCATAAAAAGAAACAAAGAAAACCTTTTAAAAAGGTAAAGGTAAAAGAAGAAACCTTTGAAAAAACACCTCTGCTGTAGAGAGCATTTCTAAAGGAAAGAGAGCAGACATTCCCATGTGCCATCTCACTTCCACAAACATTTAGAAGGAACTAAAAAACAAGACTTTCATGCTYCCTATCRGTGYTCATAGATGCAGGTGTATATGTGTAGCTCTAATCAGCAATATTATTTTAAAAGATCTCACTCTTATTCAAGTTATGTGTGTACCAAAAAACCAAAATAAGGTGTCCTGAAAGTATGAAAAGCCAAAAAAGCTTATAAGGAATGGRTAGAGGATGACAAGTTTGCCATGTGGTTTATGTATGAAAAATTAACCAAAACCTAAACATTTAAGGTGTAATAACTATGCAAAATAAATATTTTCCTTGATTCTTAAAAGCTCTGCAAAAACCACAAAATCCCAGTAATTCCTGGAGAAAATCTGCTAGAATTACATTAGAAATGTAAATTTCAAAACAGTCTCTGGTGCTGTATTCTCTCTCAGAGCTTAACTACAGAGAAAAGCAGAAACAATTCCAATTACAGAAAAAGCAGTAAACAATTCCAATAGCAGTATTTGATATAAACCTGTTCTATGTATGGCTATGGGGCAAGAACTGTGGAAAGAATTCTGAAGAAACACAGTTGAGAAAGACATCTTGAAGAAGGGCACAGTGAGGAAAAGACAGCCTGAGAGAGCTTTCCAGAGCAAAAATGTTCAGGAAGAGTGATATGTATCATGGTTAACTCTGAAAATATTAAGGAGGAAAAATAATCTGGTGTAAAAGAAAACAGTGGTGGCAAAATRCTGATGAGCTGGACTCTAAATTCAACAGCTAAAAAGCATCTCAGAAAAATGCTGTGTGATAGGTTGTATATGGGAGTCAGGGATTTTCTTGATTCTGTACTTAAAAAAAAAACCCATTTTCTTATTTTATATTCAAGAAGTCAACCTTTTACTCTGCTAAAACGCAGGCAAACCCTTCAGCTAAAATTACAAAGTTGGAAATGATTGATTTAAGTCTTGTATTGCCAGAGTTATCTATAAATCTATTACAGTATTATCAAGCAGTCCTGACCAAGCTTGAGTCAGTCAGGTATTGCTGGTTCGTCTATCAGATGCAGTGACAAGGGCTGCATTTTGCTTCCCTTGCTGGTTTTGCACTTAATTTTCTTTTAAAGCTTATCTTYCAGATAAACAAGCAAACAGGTTATTACCTGGAGTCCAAAGTAACATTAATTAACCGAAAGTAACCGAGAAAAATGATAACATGAACACATTCACTGTCATCACATGAAACTTTCCATTTTGCGTTATGTCCCATAATATCAGTAGCAACATGTTCCATATTGCCCACCTTAATATATATTGGTCCTCCTACACTTCAGATACCATGAGACTTTATAAAGAATGTCAGACATTTGATCAAATTTAGAAGTTGCTTTAAAAATAAGACTTTTGTGCTGCTTTTCATTGAACTGGAAAATAGAAAGACACTTCAAGGAACACTGGAACTAGAGAGTTCTTTTCTTTTAGATGTATATTTGTATCTTGGTGCATTTCAAATTATTGGAGTATAAAACATTTTAATAATGTGCAAATAATCTTGTAAAAATTAAACTTTGTGACAGAAACTTAGGAAATAACTGCAGATAACAAAAGTAATTTTCTCTTTAATGCTCAAATTACTTGTAGTAGTCCAACAAAAAAAAGCTACTTTGGTTTGCAATGCCCTTGAACAGATTAAGATTCTAAAAGCCTGTCTCTATTGTTTAAAAACAAAAATTAATAATTTTGTGTATGATTTAATCAATGCATACCAGTATCTTCTTTTGGAACACATTTTCTAAAAATAGCAAACCTAGTACACTACACAGTTATTTTGAGATATGTAGTTATACTGCCTATATTTGTTTTATAAATTCCAAAAGCAGCATGCTTTACAAATTTTAATCATTTCTAAGACTTCTTGATGTGACACAAATTCAGAACTGACACCCACATTAACACGATATTACAAGTAATGTGCAAGTTCAAAGGCTGCAGGGGATTTTTGAAATTTCTTTATTCTTTGGATAAATCTTGGATTGATTTTAACAGCCCCATGTCTATRATACTGATGAAGACTGTTATATACAGAACTGCTACTCAGGTGGTGTTATATACTGATAGCTATAAGGCAATGCTTTGACCTTCATCTAGTTAGCCACAGCATTTTTCTATAAAATTAATTCCCAGCTAATCTAGARAAAGGCAGAAAAACTTTAAAATGTATAATAAAAAAATTGAAGACCCTTTCCCCACTAAAGGTCTTTCCTGGAATTCAAGGTTATGCCACATATTACTGTGTGAATGGAACAATTCCATTCATGCTGCTTAAGATAAAGTGTACATAGCCTGCAAATTCGAGGTAGAAATGTTATCATCTGTATCTCTCCACTTTAAATACATTTTGAAGGAGGAAGACAGAAGTAAACAGTCTCCAGCCCAGACCTTGATACCGCTTCCTACACTTTCTGTTAGTCAATACAAATGAGAGTACAGGGTGAAGAAATGAGGAAATTACTGTCAAGGAAGCTTCCAAGTTTTGCTTCAAGATTATTTTGGTGAAGTAATTCTAGAAAAAAGAGGGAAAATTGGAATTGTTAATTTCTAAAGAAACTATGAGACAAAACTTTGAGATCTAGCAATGGTCCACTGGCTTAGTACCTAACAATGGAAAAAAACTCACAACCAACTACTAAACTGAAATCCTAAACTGAAGTTATTTAAAGGCAAAAAGAGGAGGTATTATGCTATTAGTTTAGCAGTGCTGGTGGTTCAGGAATACCTGACTGTGAGCAGCAATTGAAGAACTACCACACACCTGGTTTTTCTGAGCTCTCATGACATCAACTTCATACTCRGCATATTGACTATCCTGAGCAGGGTCCTTGGTATCTTGTAAATCACGGAAACTCTAAAGGAAAAAAGATAAAACCCCAAATTATAGAATTTATSTTCTTTAAATAAGAAAATGCCACACCATAGAAGTAAATATATTTGCTTTTAATACAATTTTATTAAAAGCTTGCATTTATGGAAYGATTTTCTGCTACAGGACACAGATTTAAAAAAAAAAGCTGTTCTCTCAGTAAAATGATGAGGAAGTAATAGTGCAGCTAGATTTAAAGGATAGAAAATATTTTTATTTGGTAGTTGTTATTATTCTTGAGCCTCAAAAGGAAAATACTCTTTCTCATCTGTGACATTTGGGCCCACTTGAGGTTGCTCTTGCTAAAGTATTTTATACTCATGACTAGAATTTGGTTCTGGTTATCAGAGCATTACCTGAATAACTGAGAAACTGATTATTAACTTTGCCAAATATCTGAATTTTCGTTTCCAAACTTGAGTGAACTATAACTTGAATTCCAGAGAAGCAAATATACTAATAGTAAGAAAAACTATCAAATAATGACATTTTTTAAAAATATCATCCTGCATGTTTCTCCTAATTTGTATCAAAGGGAAAGTAGCAAGAAGGCAATAATACCAATGATGGAATAAAGCAGAATTCTACTTGTTGGATGAAGCAGTGGAAAACAAAATATACAATGCATAGAAACAACTTCAAAGTTTGAAAGCCTACTGTGGTACCAAAACAGGAGACTGTGAATCTATCTGGCAAATGTTAAAATCTTTAATTAGACTGATGCTCCAATGAACACAGATGGAGCTTGCAAGACAAGAAGTGTATGCAGCTCTCCAGCTGTTTCAGCGGAAGTTCAGGAATTACTTGGAGGGGTGAGTGCAGGAAACACTTGTTTATTGTGGTTTCAGAGGTGATGAGAAAAACTAACATGAAAAATAACATTTCTGTATATTTCTGAAAGGCTTAGTCTTTATCATGTTGGGGCATATTATACTGAGAACAGCATCTTTCATAATTTCTCAGTGTAGGAAGCTAACTGAAGATGCAGAAGCACCACTACATACAAATCTTTRTCTTAAAAATGTATTAAAGAGAACTTCTAAGAGAGACTGAAATGCCAGTCAGTGGACTGGCARAAATGAGTAGGCACATTCCTACTATTCTGTGAGAAAAGCAGCTCTGTGTGTGGCATGTGCATCCCTACCTTGGGTGGAAATGTTTTCTCAAATACTTTTTTCCATAGTTCCAAAGGCGTGTTGGCACGCATCTTCCCCAGATCACTGTCAGGTGCAGGTGGTGGTCCTGAGGATCACAGCACAACATAAGATAAGCATGTTGTCATAACAACATAAATCGTAGAATGATTTTGCATATGGTCCATGTAATTTGGTATTTTACCTTCTACACTGACAAGCTGTAACAAGTTTGAAAATAACATTGATCTCCTACCATGAAATGGGCTAAGAGGTTTTGTGTATTATATTTTCTTTCACATCTAAGCTTATTGGTTCTTTACTATTTTACATAGTCCAGAGACTTCTTTAAACTACCTAACAAACCTGTACAAGTAATTCTCAGTAATATACTGAATCATGATTTTAAAATCTATAAGCCAGTTCCTTCAATAATGTGTTAAAATTGACACTGATGAGCTGTAATTTATTTATTTGCTTAAAATGTTTTAATTGTTTTCAAAACAATTAAGCAGCAAACACAATGAACAGGAAATGTTCTAACCTATTTGGCTCATGGAATCCAGGCCTGCTGGTATAAAGAGAGGTTTGCTGGGATCCACTGACATAGACTTGCTAAAAAGAAAAAGAAAATTTATCAAGTGAGCATTTAGCAATTAAAAAAAAAAAGACATAATTCTAGCTAAGACTAGAGTCTTACTGGGGTTTGCATATAAATTCATGTAAACAAAAAAATTCTCAGTTCCAGTGGTAACCACATTTTTAATTAATCAGTTTGAGGATCAAAACCAAGGAGGTGTTGCTGTCCTTAGCAGAGATGGGCAGCTGAGTCACGGGTCCACGTCCATGAACAAAAATATTTCAGACATCATACTTAAGAAGAGTTTTTATTATTAAAATATTTTTWAAAAAGTAATTTTAGGCTCTGAGCCTAAAATGTAATAATTTTARTACATTTAATAATTTTTAAGACATTTAATAGTTGAACAATGACACTACCTTTTATCGTAGCCAAATGCCAAGTGATTAATAAGAGCACGGGCTTTCAGCAGGAGAGCCTCAGATTTACTGGTAAACTAAATGAATCAGAAAACAAAATATACATTATGAACTTCCATCATAGATACATTACATTTTRCCATTTACAAAGAGGATAGAGCCTTGCTAATTAAACCCTGACCCCAATAAATCTGGCATATGTTCACTGAATTGACTAGAATAAAAAACTCACCTTCCCTTTCAAAAACATGAATGTATTTGTTACTGAATATATAGATCAAGAAATATTAAATGAAAAAGTAGCATAAATAAAAAGAATGTTTTAAAATACTGATTCAAAACTTTTGAAAGGTGCACACTRAGAGACAAATTTTTGCCTAAGACTAAGTTAAGATTTTAAATTACATTAAAAACTATACAGAATACCATAAACATTTAGAAATGTGATGAATAACTATATAATTGTTATAAAAGCAGCTTCAAAGTGGCAGAATAGTACGGACTTGTCAGAAAGCAGATCTCAGAATATATTCTCAAACTACATGCTTGTTCCTGTCTAAGGGCTTTTGTATCCTAACAGATTCATGTCTTTGAGAAAGAAGTCGGATCCCTGCTGTGGAAAATTATGTTTCTCCCACTTATTTCAATGACAATCAGGATTTAGCAGCCAAGGAGTTTTAGTATTCTAGTTTTAATTACAATAATACTTAAATACTTAAAAAAACCCCTACCAAGACAGTTGTATTCTGTTAACAAAAGACAAATTCATGTGTCAGAGTGAAAAAGGTTTACATGGACGCAAAAGGACAGGCTGGGATTTTAAGGATTTAGAGTAAACATTAGTTGTTTTGATAATCATTAAGCTACTATTAAATATTATTTATTACATAAATGATAGTTGATACAATTAGACCCATCTTCTGATGCACAGTGAATCCAAGAGGTAGTGTTCTTGGACTGTGAATCTCTGCRTGCATGTTTTTGTCTTTACTCAGAGGATGACCTGACAAACTAAAATCAATTAATATACCCACATAAATACTTCATTGTCCTTATGTTGATATCTTTCTACTCACTACAGTAAGGAAGCCCTTCTTTCTTCTTCAACACCCTAAGCGTAGTGATCTGGTATACATAAACTGCTGTGGAAATGAGCCCTTGATTTTAAAGCTCCCAAAGCTGGGTCACTTGATYTAAGTTCATTCTTCTACCAAAACGCCCATTCTAATTCAATCTAAGACAATCACTTTTGCCCCTTCTCCTTTATGGTACAAAAAAAATTTGCCAACGTGCAGTAAACTCAATGCAGGAACTAAGCTGGCTAAGAGATAACTATTTTTATTTAGGTTTTGTTGACACTGGGAATTGTGTAGTTTGTTCACAAGGCATGTCCATCCATCCCCTGTCAGTATTGTGATTTGTTCATGAAGAACACTGCTGTAAAACCAATAAAATCCCACTTTCTGTAGGAGTTTTACATTTCTGTTTTTTAAAATATTGTTTTGCAACAGAAATATTGTTCATCTTCTCTATCCTTAAATAAAAAGTGAATATACACACCACTAATGATGCTCCATGATAATGTGAAACAAATCGAAGTGTCTTGCTTATTATTTTCCTCATTTCAGAGTCGAACTCCTGAAAAAGTTGATATTGGAACATCGATTAAGAAAAAAATCCAAAATATTACAGTTAGAACTTTCTTTTTTTTTATAAACTGCAATGCACTTAAGCTACAATATATAAGCCTTTCAGCTGTCAGCATAATTATATCTTAAGACAGAATCAGTAACAGCCTACTCTGAAAAGAAATGTCACAATTTCTCTTTGTTTCTTTTTTACAGAGGGAGCCTAATTCGGGCATTATGTTAGTCCAGGAAAAGTTTTTAATTGGAATGCATATTTAATTTTCAATTTATTTGTTTGATTTTTAACTTTTCAAAAGTAGAAATGCTGCCTCTATAAAAAAAAAAAAGATTTTTTTTTTCTTTTCATGAAAATATTTCAGTAAATCTTTGGGCATATGCTCTCTAAATTCTAATACCTGCAAGATTTGAAAGGTGCATGCAAATACCTTTTTATCCATGTTTCTTTAATCTAAGATCATACAGACAGCCTTCCCTGGATGAAATGGGTGAAAACATGGTCCCAGTGAAGCCTGCAGGAGTTAATCCATAGACCCCCAAASGAATCAGGCTGTCATTTTGTCCTTATTTCCTGAGAGGCATTTAAGGAGGTCATGGCTCAGCATAAAGCTTTGGTATGAGAGGAGGCAAGTACTTATYAATAAAGAATTAAGTAACTCAGAGTCAGGCAGGTATCAATGCACTTTGTAGTCGTGCAGAGAAGCACAGAAAAGCACRACTGCTGAAAATCAACCATACTGTCCTAATTTCTCATGATCAAGTGCTGTGAGTATGCATTTGTTTGGGTCTTTTATKTCCTGGGAGAGAATCCAGCAGTACCATGACATTTCTTTCCTCTCCTCCATAAAAGATGCAATTACTCACTTGTCTCTAGAAACTTAGGAAGTACTTTTAAAAGAAGTTATAGATTGAAATGATAGTTTACTGTTTGTGTTGCCACAACTACCAAAAAACTCTGCTCAGCTGACTTGAGATACACCCCWCTTTCACTACCATAAACTTGCAGCTGCTGTCAAAAGGGACACATGGAGCTGGATTTCTCTCATAAAAGGAAATCATCAATATATAAATTTYTTTTTCTTTCCTTTTTGGTCTGCAGCAACTCTGTCTCAACATTTTCTAAGTACATCCCAAAAATCATCAGTTTAGGGGTGCTTTGTGAAGGAATGACAGTATGTCTTCCTTCATGCTGTTGTATGGAAGTTGTTTGGGGTTTTTTTTTTGTGATAGAAAGCTGACTGGCTATACTTTAATTCAAAAGATTACTATTATATTACTGGAATTTTAGTATRTATTTACTGGCAATATTTTGATTACTAAAAATGTACCTAAGTTTTACTTACATGAAAAATATCATATTTGCTTCCAATTATCACCATGGGTATTGGAAAAGGGTCAACTAATGCATAATCCTATTAAAGAGATACAGGACAGTTAAGCACTGTAAATAAACTGTAGAAGATTGCAACTGTTAAAGCAACTGAAAGGGGTTAAAATTAATTCACAGAAGACAAAGTTTTCCAAACCAYAAAGTAGATTAATCAACTTTAATGCAAAATGCATATATATATTCTACCACTTTACCACTTCTATCAYAAATGGTCAGAAAGTAATCCCTCTGAGCAGTCGGAACACTTACTGACATAAGAGGGCTCTTACACTRTACATTCCAGCTCCAACATTAGATGGGAAAGGAGGAGAGGAAAAACCTCATGTGTTCACAGAAAACCTGCCAGATTGGTTTAATAGAGCTGGCTYTTTGACACATTCACCCTTCTTGGACAAAATCTGAAAGAATACAGACAAAATCTGAAGAAACAYAAGTGGAGTGATTTGCTTGTTTCACCCATTTATCCTCACCACATTATGCTTTTCWAACACTTAAACAATATTTAATGTGAATTTGAAATATTTGATATCAGCACAAAGAGGAAACATCATCCAACAATCATGAAAATGTGAATCATGGAGGAAATCAGGCCCAAGAGTGGTGTAGACTTAACTGCTAAATTAGTAACTTGGAATAAAAGTTTTAATGTGCATTAAAGTGAATTATAAGAATTCTCAAGTGATCTGGAAGGTTTTGCTGTAGTCCATATGAAATAAGATAATYCCCTCATGTGTTCAAGCAAATATTTATTCAAGCTGATTTGGTTTCAGCAGTGGAAGAGAGATGTCTTGTAGCAGAGGAGCAGAGGTTGGTCCAACTGCTCCCTCCTAAACCCAGTTATTTCACAGAGAGCTTAAATGACAGAAGCTGCACATATTGAAAATCCTCTCCTTGGACAGGAAGAATAATGGCTTCACTCATACACTGTCAAAGCAAAAACTTTGAGCAAAACTATCTTAACTTTAAAAAGTGAGTATATGAAATATAAAACTGAAAAAAKATTTTGTTTCTTAACTAAGAGGAAAATTTGGGATAACATCAGAAACATTAAAACTAACATTGAATCCTATTCATCTTYTAACTATGGAATTAACTTTTGACCATGTAGTATTTTAGATGCATCCAGCCTTTTTTAAACAAGGTCTGCAATTGATATGATTTATCATCATAGCAAATAATTCTTTAGCCAGGCCAATGAAATATATCTAATCCTCAAAACCAMAAGAATTTAATTGACTCCTGTTTATCATAAAAATATGTTCATTCATTAAAAGRCAAGTAAAAATCTCCACAAACTGTCATTTAATTTGGCTATAAAAAGTATTTTCTTTTACAAAATTGACACAATTTTTTTTTTCAACAATGATGAAAGTAAAAGAGAACCAAGTAGAAATAAAACATTTTTTTTGCATTATTGATGTCTTCGATAATGGAAKCAAAACAGAAATTCTAGTTTAGAAGGTACAGTTGTGTCTCCTACAGGGCAAGAATAAGGAGTTTTCTTAACAATTAATAGCATTATTAWTTTTCTTTATTTTAGTAAGCTTGCMGTTTTCTGATATGTAAGCCCCTAAATGAAAACTTGACACTGTGGTCATAATTAAGGTGTGCATGTAGCTGTTTTCTTTTTGTGATTACCTTCTCTAAAAATAAAAACCAAATTAATMATCCCAATATCAAACCCCAAACTCAAAATCTACGGAGTGCTGCATATGTTGCTTTCTCATACATGTCGAGTTACTTTTAAATTCCTGAGCTCTATAAGATTTGCTGTATTGAAGCATTTTATAGAAGTTACAGTAACTAGATTTGTAAGCCAGGTCTTTGAATTGTTGAATACTTATTTATGCATTATATACACACAACATTTGCAGAGGTTTAATGCACAATGACTTTTCATTTCTATTGCGCATAATCTAGTTTAGCTTTTCCAGAGATTTAGTTAGCAATTATGTTTAAAGGACTGATGTTAACATTCTGAAACTTTATAATTTAATTAGTTGTCAGATTATCAAAAGGCATTGAGTTTGTGATAGACATTTAAATAAATGCAAAGTATATAGTCATGTTGATGGCTGTTATAACTATATTCTTTGCTTAAATTTGTACCTTCAGCTAGTCTCTTGCTAGATGACTTTTGTACATTCTAGTTTTCATCTTCATTTTAAAAAGATGAGGGGGGAAAAAAAGCAAACTGCTACTCTAAAACTATTTCTTTTGATTGGTGTAACATGCCATAACAATCACATTAGATATCTAACAAAAAGATATAAGAAACCTTCTTTCCTTGTTTCTGCTCTTATTGAATTTTTATTAAATTGCTATAATTTTCCAGTGAACAGGTTCATCTACATCAAATGGATTTTCAGTCATGCATAAAAATCTAAAAGAGTTGTTTATGATTTTCAAAAGCATTATCTTTAACTGTATAAAGGCCTGTGACATCTGGAGAAAATATTAGAAGTAACTTACGGGGTGATCCCTCTTCAGATCGTTCCACATTCTCTGTTTAATTTCAGCAGCTACTTCAGGGTTTGTCTTTTCTAGTTTGGTTAAAATTTTGTTCACGTGGTTCCTGGTGACCTGCAGAAGGGTCTCCATAGTAGTCCAGAGTTCATTAGGTTTGGACAGATCCAATACCAGAACTACAGCAAATGACCTATTAAATARGCATTATTTGGTCATGAGGCAATCAGCATTTTCAAACAAAATCATACCTGTAGAGCAAATGTGAGCACGTAACTTCTACGACAGAATTAAATCTGATGGCAAAGCAAGATGGTTTTTAGGGATATTCTGCACTCTGAAGAAACCCTTCCCTTGTCTCTTCTTCAGAACTATAATTTTGACAGCTTTCCATCCAGCAATTTCTTCAAAGCAATAAAATAAGAAAATATCCTCAGCCCATGTAACTCCTTCTTCCTGTATGATTGAGCATTTCTGCTGTCATGTATCCCAGCCGTCTCATAAGCCTACAACCCCAGACAAACCAATGTTAGCCAAAGGCTAGCATTTTTCCTAAATATTACCTGTATTAGGAAGCTCCCTAYTTTCATTATTCYTTTCTAATATGAAATGAAAAAAACYTGGTTAAGGACAATATTCTGTGTCAWGAACTGCAACAGTTTGTTGGAACCTCAAATGGGTGCATGAGAAAAGTCTTCTGAAATATAAATGGAAGATAAAAGAGCACTCATGACATACTTAGCTACTATCACCAGACTTTTAAAGGTGGACTATTGCTGAGAAATGTTTTACRTCTGAACTCCCCTCTTTCCAAAACCCTGCCTCCCAAAACACCAGCTGCATTAAAGTGCAATTGTAAAGATCATTGTAAATGCAGTCATGTGAATGGATGCAATCATTCTATCACATTCCAGCCTRACTCGAAAAAGGGAATTCCAGACCAGAGTGGTATTAGAAAGGCTATGAAGCAAACTGAGTGCTCAATTTCACTTTAAAATGCTGTGGGGTTTAAAAATCTGGTGAAAAGTCTCTTGATGAAACTAGATACAGTTCATGGAACTTTTAAATAAGCAAATTGCTTCACTACAATGATGAGAAAACCAGCAAAAAGCACTTACACTTAAGMTGAAATGGTAGTATAATTGTTACTAGCATGTTAAAATATTGCCCTGTGAACAGAAGTGAATTGTTCTTAAAGAACACTGGCATCCCAGCAAAGAATCTTGAGATTATCCACATCAGAAAATTCCTTATCCATAAAAAAGGAAGAAAAAACTGATAGAGCTGGAGATCAATTAATTTAATTTAGTCAAGGGCTGAAAAATTACACTTCTCTCCCAAGCTCTTCTAGAAATAAGGAGCTTCACATGCCATAAATGTTGTATTTTTATTCCTTCTGTCTTAGTCTCAGCACATAAGGACATTACCTCAATAGTCAAAACAGTAGGAAATGTACCTGATAAAAATATTTTTTTCCCCACAGAAGTTAAAGCTCAATACCAATGAACTATAAAGCAGTACATCATAATACAAAACGTATCTTTTGATCCTTTTCTCTGTTTCAACTCCCATCTTCCCTAACCAAAAAAAAAACTCCAAAAAAAGCATACCCCATTACCTTGTCATTTCTTCATGCAACTTTTCATGCATTTCTTCTTCCTATGCTATTCATTACTTCAATGGATTTTTCTCACTACATTCTCTTAATTTGATCTAAATTCCYGTTTCCTTTTGTTTTCAAATAGTTYCAATAGCTTGAGTCCCTCTTGGAAACGCCACCTCTGTTGGGAAATGAGCTTCTCATTAAGAGATCATTTCCCAAAAATCCAAGAGACTTTTTTGGCCACAGTTCTTTCCCTTGTTTTTTATTCTAAAATATTATACATCACAGAAAGCCATCTATGTTTGGCTACAGAAGTAAGAAGCAAGATTTTATTTTTCATATGCCCCCAAGTCATTCTTTTTGTTCTTTCACTAAGCATAAAGATATTATGTCTAGGATAAAAGTCTTCTCTTTTCTGTATTTCTTCTTGTATCTACTTAAGGCCAATCTACTCCCTTCATGTTACCACTTTGTTTTGTTGAGATTACTTAGAACTTGTTTATTTAGAAGAGAAGCATGAAAAGGAAGGCCAAAACAAAGCATCATGGTACTATAATGATTTTCAGCAAAACCCTATAAATGTTCTTACACTTTGAAAGAGTTTTTCACAAAAATACAAGGTCTGGAGATTTACTTATGTTTAAAAGAAAGCTCAAATTAAGTCTGGAATTGTAATATTTACACTTACCTTATGTTGTGGCAAGTGATYGGTATTCGAATGAGTTCTGCTAACGAGGTTCCACCACCTAGTTCCCAAAAATGAGCTACATCTTTAGGCTGCAAGAGAGTTTCTTTATGTCATTTTTATGTGTGGGTATATGTATAAAAGATGGTAAATTATACTTTCTCTATACTCACTGTATTGTGCCTCCTTGCCCTTCTTCCAAAAGTATATTCCAAGGCTAATGTTGGCTTTGGAGACTCTTCCCTAGAGGAAAAGTAACTTAATTTTGTCAAGATCCTCTAAATAAAGGTAGTAGATTCTGTGGTTACTAAATTATAATTATCAGTTAGTTCAAAATTTGGCTTAGATACAGTACAGAGAGGACACTTTTAGATAGGAGGTGTCAGGTACTGAAGACAAGAGAAGCAGCAGCACCAATCCATTTGGTAATTTCAGCTGACACTGGATAAGGACTGAAAGGGTCACAAGACAGGCAGTAATGAAAGGAAATATGTTCATCCATAAGTGATCAAYCAGTCACAGAACACATCTGCATACATATATTATGAATAATCACACAATATAATTGTTTATGTAAAATTCTAAAATTCTAATCTACAGCTGAAAACTGCTTTTAAATATATAACACATACCTCTCAAGGCACCTCAATATGATAGTRGTCTTTCCCTGGAAATTAAAAACAAACAAGAACTGTACTGTCTTTAAAGCATAAAGTTTTGTCACTAAATCAAACTAATTTAACATTCCAGTAATAAAGTACCAGAAAACTGCAAATGCATGTTACTGTTTGTTTTCTTATAGTGGAAACTTAAGTCCAGTTTTCAATCAGAATCGAGTTATACTACCATTATTATATGAATAAACTAATAGACATGACAAATACAGTAACAGGAACACTACTTAAACTTAGACATTAGTGATCAATTTGACCAAGTCTTTTAAAATGTTAAACAGGTTTTATTTGCTAATAACATTTATGTAATGTGTGGTTTCCATTGAATCGAATTATTACTGTTGAGATGGAAACAAAAAGATWGCTTAAAATACAAATAAACATACAGAAAAAATTGTCTTTACATTGTTAAAATTCAGGTACTAAGTACCATGCCACACTGAAGGGGCTAGCACTTCATTTCTATCCTTTCCTATCTCAAAAATCAGTGAATTTGTGGTAAATCTGAAAAGCCRTTTTCTCTGGAAAAGGTATTTCGTAAATTGCTGATTAACAGGTTGCACAAACACTGATCCTTCTAAAATAAAAATTGTATTCTTGAAAAATATTACTAATTTCATCAAAAAGGCAGGTATTTCCTTATTAACTTCATAAATAAAGGGTAAGAGAAGAAAAATATGTAATTACCAGCGACCAGCTAAAGGGGCAATCAGTTAAAACATTAGGCATAGTGAATAATGAGTTTACACTCGGTGATAAGGTATGTTTTCAAATAGTTGTGACATAATACAGACACAATTCACTGCAGCATGTCAAGGCCTCTATCTCCAACAAATCTGGTATCAGTGCACTTAGACTGGATTCTCACCYGTTAAACCTTTACAAGGGAAAACAATTAAAAGAGAATAGTATGMTTTCTGGCAGTCACTCTAAAAAAATGATGAAGCCAAACCTCAAAAAATTAGCACATCATTGATAACCCTAACTGTAATGTGAATTTACACTCTGGAACATCCACCCTCTGTAGAATGAGACCATGACATATTAAGTCTTTTAGATTAAGTGAACATCTGAAAATAAGAGATATTTTCCCTGACTCAAAATATGTCTGAAAAGTGTGGAACTGTACAGTATTTAGGATTACCCCGKTTTTGTTTCCCATAAATAATATTGACTTTTCCCAGACTTCCCCTGGTCTGACATCGTCATCATTAGGGTTTTCTCTCTTCTTCACTTCAGCTATAGCAAGATCCCACAAAGTATCACTAATTGAAAGAAAACAAAGAGAGAAGAGAATAATTAGAGAAAACACACACTTTATACTGTAATTCCTGAAAATATCTAAATGAAAGTTACTGTGGTGTGGATTACTATTATTTCATATCACCAGCCCTCTGCTTTTCGAAGTACTTCTAACCCARCCAGCTGAAGTGACATTCCTCAGGTAACCCCAGCCGCGATTTGTGGCACAAACTGAGCACAAGGGGAAAGTTCCAGCTGTGCAGAGCGAGGCTTTGTTCGAGCACGTTTGATTACAGAATCACAGAACCAATTAGGATGGAAAAGACCCGTGAGTTCACCGAGTGCAACCCGTRAGCGAACGCCACCRAGTGCCACGTCCAGGCTTTCCTKAARCACCTCCAGGGACGGTCACTCCAGCAGCTCCCCGGGCAGACCTTTACAMGCTCTTCTGGCGTGTCCGGCTTTCCGCAGGTCCCTGTGGGGGCTGGCAGCCTCCGGAGCCGGCAATTCCCGGCCGCTGGCAGCGGAGGAGCCCGGYGGGCTCGGGAGGGCTCTGATCTGCGCTCCCCGTGCTTAGGCTCACCGTGGTCACCTGTTTATGCGAGGTCGCTCACAGCAGCAACCAGACAAGGGCCAAGCGTACCCTACCTGCCCCAGTCCCGGTCGCGTTCGGGGCAGAGGCCGAAACGGCCCGTTTTAAGCCCTCCTTCCTTCCCACCCTCCCTTTTGCAGGCTGTCSTCCCCTGCCCCCGGCTCCTACCCCSCAAGGCAGCGGGRKGAATTTCCCGTCACCAGCACGGGCATGGCTCACCGTACCTGGCCTTGGGCATGGCTACGCGGGCGCGGGCCCGGCTGCCCGTGGCCATGGGAACGGCGCAGGGCACGCCGGGAGCTGTAGTTCCGCGGTGGGGCGGYCCCGGTGTTCCCGGCCCACTCCGGCCCGCCCCGCCGGCTCCGCGCTCGGCTCGGCCCCGGTCCCGCCCCGCTCCCACCCCGTGCTTGGCCCAGCCCTGCCCGSGGCCGTCCACAGACAGAGGATCCGCGTGGGGGCTCCACTGAGAGTCCCGCTCCATCCCGTTCGGGGGACCTGCGGGTGCCTCTGTGTTCAGAGTTCTCCCGGTTTGGTAGCGGAGTGAGTGTGAGGGCCCTCGGGGTACCTCGACAGTGGCCCCTGTTGTGAAGGGACAAAAAACTCCCGCTGTGGGTGAAGCCTGGGAAAAGCAAACACCATCGGGAGTCTTATTTCACCTCGGCCTTAAGCACYGGCTCCTGATAAATCATGGTCCCTCAGTGAGATTTGTTGCCAGCGGGGGGAGTGAAACGAGACTTGAGTAGTTCCCACTCCCTGAGAACTGCGTATAACACAGAGTAAGTGTAATTATTTTATAGTAGTTATTGTGTAATTATTTTACTGTCCAGTGGAGGGCAACGAGGGTGATTGAGGGATTGGAGCATGTTCCGTACGAGGAAAGGATGAGAGAGCTGAGCCTGAAGAAGATGYGACTGAGAGGGGCCCTCATCAGTGTCTGTCAGWGTCTGCAGGGAGGGGTCAGAGGATGTTTCCAGGCTCTGCTCGGTGRTGCCGAGCAATAGGACAGGAGGCAATGGGCAGAAACTGATGCACAGAAAGTTCCACCTGAACATGGGGAAGAGCTGCTTTACTGTGCAGGTGATCAAGCACTAGAACAGATTGTTCAGAGAGCTGGTGGAGTCTCCCTCACCGGAGGTATTCAAGACTATTCTGGACACAATCCTATGCCATGTGCTCTGGGATGACCCTCCTTCAGCAYGGAGCTTGGGCCAGATGACCCACTGTGCTCCCTTCCAACCTGATCCATTCTGGGATTCTSTGACTGCAGTTACAAGAGCATRCAAAGTAAGACATTGTAAYACCAGGGGCTAGAATATTTCAAATAAGATTATCAAAAATCAAGTCCAAAAATGCTAGGCTTGGATTGGAAAGTGGGATTTAAAGTGTGCAGTAAAACAGCAGGATGACAGTGAATATGAAAAGGGTGTAGGATATAGGTGAACCCGGCAAGTCTAAAGTGTCCTACATCAGGAAAGTTACCCAAAATCCAGGACAGCAATTACAGCTATCTTCTGTAGCTGAGGAGCTGCTTTGCATCTTGTGAGAGGAGACAGAAAAATCTAACTAAAATCATTCAGCCAACAGTTTGATCAAAGCCAAGAAAGTGGCCTCATTCATAATGATTAACTCAGATTTAATTTTAACTGTTCCTTYTTTCTTAGCCAAAGAAGGCTGATGTAGCCTTCCACTAACCCTAAGTAAAGTTAATTCTTTAAATAAGATTCTTTTTTTTTTCTAAATTTTCTTGCATAATTACTCAGTTTCAGTCCCAGAAGCCTTTATTTTTGTCTGGTTTTAATTACTTCCAGGTTTTTACATGCTTATTCTAAAGAATTTGCTAACTATTTGCTAACGTTTGCTCCTATGGAAACCATAGTCTTGCTAATTAAAATACAGAAAAAAACTTAATTGTTTAGTGTTGTGCAGTGCAGGTCACGCTGATGTCTATCTAAGTGCATTTCTTTCATCAATTTCAGTTCAACAGAACGCTTCTCATATCTTGGTATGTATATTAAGCAAGTGCTGACCTGTAATCAGCAGCTAGAGCTGAGAAAACCCTGGACAAAGCTGCTCTGCCAAAGAGAGCAAGACTATGGAGAAATTGCTCCTGACACTATGACTTATGCAGGTATTACTGCAACARGAGCATAAAAAGCAAAGTATTTTTACAGTGATTTACTCACTAGGACTTAAGACTAGGCAAATCTGGAAGATGCTGTAGTACAGATCTGAGCTGGGAAGCACATTAAAGAGTGTAGAGTTAATAAATGTACTGAAGCCTGATCTGGAATTTTATTTGGAATTCTCAGTATTTTATGTTTCAACTTTCCCAGTTTCATTTCTTTTGTCCTAATAAACTGTAAAAAAAACCCAAAACAACACATACACACAAAACTTTTTTTCCTCCAATTCATTATTACTGGGTTACTAATCACCTTAGTTAAAATTAACTCAAACTAAAGGATTGCTGTACGGACTATTAAAGCTCTACCTAGAGCTTTAAGTGGGGCATTCCTTTATGCAAGAATAATTTTCATGCTTCAGGAAAAATTAAAACCTTGAAAACTCTGGTAGTCTGACTCCATCACTTACCAGTCTTCTTTTATAGGGAAATATACACTTTTATGTTAAATTTAAATGAAATATAAATATAACAAAACCCATTAATCATATTAAAACCTTAAAGCTTTATAATTTTCCTGCWGTAGTAGAGAAGCAAATGGGTCATGCTTGTTTCAGAATTCAGCTGTYCTCTTACTAATACTGCTGTTCAAAAATTGACAAGGCAAAGTGAAGTTCAAGTAATACATTAATTTACACTGCATTCCAAATATTCTTTTCAAATCAGCATGATTGTTTATACAGAGAGTTACCATTGATCTTTCAGTCATTGTCAAGTTCAGATTCAGTGATCATTTACATGGATTGTTGATTCTGACTACTAGCTCAAAGCAAGGTATTCTGAAGTGGTAGAAGGGGATGTCTCTTTGCATGTGCTAACATGTTAATCTTAATTCTGTCAATATTTTTACAACCTAGGTTCTGCAAGCCTTGAGCATGGAAAATTTTCCAGCATCAGTCCCTGAAGTCACTGMTCATTTGACAGCTCCCACAGTATCACTGCTGCTGAAGATTAGGAGGTGAGAAAGGTCCAGTTCCTACCTGGGCTTCAGTCACRGATTAGGTAGCACAGTATGAATTACTTTGGTGGATGATTCAAATTTAGGATTGAGATGAGGATCAGTCATGAGGCTCAAGCTATGTGGGGAAAGCAGAACAGATTAACTGCTTGGACTGTGAAATGTTCAGCTTTGCTCTCTTACACTGTGTGGTATTTTTAAGTAGCTCTGGAGCTTGATTATGGTGGAGCAAGGTCCTGAGATATGCAGAGCTGTGTTTGKAGGAGTGCTTGCATGCGTGAGAGATTCCACTCACTGACCCTGTTATGTTGAAGGGACGTGTTTACTGAGGTTACTGTCACTACAGAAACTTCACTCTTTCAAATCAAACTGGAAGCAGCTTCATTGTTTAATGCAGTGTTGTCATGGTAACTGTGATTGTGAGTGCATTTATTTCATATAAATTAACACAGCATTTCTGGTCAYGTGACTAAGTAGTAAGTCTGGAAAGTCATGCCAAAAAAAGGGAAACTAATGCATGGATTGCTTCTGATTATGATGATGTAGGGATATATGGCAGCAGCAAGAGCTGAACACTGAAAAGCAAAGCAATGTCTAGTTTCCTACCCAAAGGCAGGCRGGAAGGTCGTACTCTGCTTCATAGATTCTACATGGCTTTATGAAACAACTGTTTGTAAGGTTGTTCATGAAAGCTGTTTAAAAAACTCAAAATCTGTACATCAGTTGTTGGTAGTTTATCATATCTCAAAATTCAATGAMGATTTTAAAAATTACATGAACAAGCTCACTAGCAAAATGCTCCATGTTTTTTGCCTTCTAATAACAAAGCGGATCTGCCACATTCATTGGAAACTGGACAATTAGTAAARAATTACTAGTTGGAGTATTCCAAGTTATCATAATTTCACCATTACAGGAAGACGTTTGTGTTTGTAAACTGAAGATGTTTATCATATTTCAGAAGTTTTAGGCTATTTTCCTGAGTATAACTGATGCAGTAGCATGTTTGAATTTGTAAACACCCTTCCCCCCTCAAATCCGAAATTTATTTTTTCTCCTGATTGCAAATTCCTAAATGAATTTCACCATGGTATCTGCATCATTTCACATGGGGTGCAAGAAGTAATGCTGTTGGTCTCTTGTAGCTCCCAACATGCTTTCTTGGATGATGGCAGGAGATTGGCTGCCTAAGGAAGAAGTAAAACCTCCTGCTGCTGGCCCTGCCTTATGGAAAGAGAAGGGTCTGGTGCCCCAACCGCCACCAAAGGGTGGAAGTTACCAGGAACCTCTTTCCACCTTGTAAATATGAAAGCGTCTGGGTATAGTCTGTGTGTTGTTTGGTTGTAATTTTCAAGGAAAAGTGTTGAATGGTATCATTCATAAAGTGGTGCTTGAGTCCTGTGGACTTCAGTAGCTGCCACAGGACTTGGGAGAACCTTCTAAAGAAACCAGTTTATCAAGTCAGCTTGCCTGTTTGCCTTTCCATTTTTAAGATCATGTTCTCTTCATGGCCTGTATCTCCCTCCCAATCTATTTTAATTCYTTAAGAGGATACTCCCTATCTTTCATGGAGGGCAAACAGCTGAAAATTCCTTTTCTCTCAGTATGAGCATTGAAATGTTTAAATATCATAAACCAGAGATTTTCAATTGTGAAATTACTTCAGATKTAAGTAGCAATCAAACAAAAATCAGTGAGGGCTGGCTGTAAGGGATAAATAATCCAAAATCATTAGAATCAGCAGAAGTGAAGACTGTGAAATGTCCATAAGTCAATGATTTGTGTTGGAGTACCTTCTTTATGGTTGGATCTAAGTTATCCATTAGAGTATGCTGCTGATCCATTTCAGAGACTGCCAAAGTGGTTTATTTGCATGGGAACAAAAAAGAGAGGACTGGAAGGAAAACAATGGGTGTAATTTCTATACATTTGACCCATGTAGCACTGAGGCTTGCAGCTGAAAAAGGCAACTGCAAAGTGCTCCTAGGTCCAATTGTGCAGATGCAGCATCATGTCTTCAGTGTGCAAGAACATTATATTAGTATTATAATAGGAAATGTATAGATACAAATAAAAAACAAGATGTAAATATTATTCTGACTCAATGTATATACATTATACATATTATACATTTTAGGTTTCCAAGTTTACTCACAGCATTTCAATCAATGGTTTTCTGTGTTATTCTTGTAGCTTGAATTGTGAGTCATTCTTGCCATCTGTATTATATTATTAGCCTGGATTAAAGGAGAAATGAGGTACGGGGTCTTGTTTAACAGAACTGTAGTAAATACAGTGCCTATCCAATTTGGATTTTTTCAAAAGGCTGGAGCAGAGAGGGTTTATTTGGAAATTTACTAGACCAAGACTGAAGATTGCCAAGTAAAACAGCTATATAACAAAGGCTAGAGTGTATCATGAGAATACTCTTTAAATGTGTAATGCTCACATGATGTGCTTATGTGTTTGTTTTTTTTTCAAAGGAGAAACAATTATACACAACTTGTTCCTTTTAATCCTGTGATATTTGTATTGCAAATAAGGATRGTGCTGGAAATGGAAGGTATTTTGTATTTGGCTGCTTTTCTAAACAAAAAATTCCTTTTCAAAATGGAAGTTATACAACTGGTCAAATTTTGAAAAATAGAGATGAAGAGCTGAAAACAGTTGGTCCCTGAGTATATACYGGGAAAACTATAAAAATCGATACGATTGTTTCCAAAGACACCTTTTGCCATCATTATAAACACATGTGTTTTTTCTGAGCTGTAGGCACAAGCAAGCCCCTTTAAAGCATAACCCTTAAACTGACACRTCATCTTTCCAGTTCAGGCCAGAGCTTTAATTAAAGGGCTACTCCTGTTATCTGCCAGTGAGGTGAATGTAAATCTTTTCACCTTTCTTTTGTTTATGGAGCTGCTTATGCTCTATGTCTTGTACATCAGAAGGTTTTCAATCCATGTAGAAACCCTGTTACAAAGATGCCTTATCGTGATACATAATCCKTTCATAACAAAGTCGGACATTTAGTTGGTCTGTTGATTACAAGAAGTGGCTGGCTCCCCATTTCCTTGAGTTTCTGTCCACTTTGAGGTGCCACTAATGCTGGAGCAGAGAGGTCATGAGCAGCTCCTTTCAGCTGATGAAAGTTGTTAATGTAGCTGGCAATCAGTAGAGTGATCTCAAGAATCTATAACAGGAACATACAAAACTCTTTGAAAAATACAGTGATGTGTTTTGACTGCAGAAAAATAGCTAACTTTTTAGCAAGTGACAATCACCATCAACTGGATAAGTACTTGTACTTATCAAATTAATGATGGGGAGAGAAGAGATAACTAATAAGGCTTTTTTTATTGCTCCTTCAAATAATGTAACATTATTCCTATCAGTATATATCGAAGATACTTTGTCTTTCAGTCTTAAATGATTCAGATATTACTTTGACTCCAAGAGAGGTTTTGAAGTCCAAAAGATGACACTCTGAGGAGTTTTTCCAAGGAAGTGCCTAGCACTCAGAGAACTCAGAGTATAGGGTTAATGAAGGGAATAAAGACTTCTGGGAGGTTTTTATCATATTTTCTCTTTGTGACCCATATGAACCTTGCTGAGGCACAGAGCAGGTTGCCCAGAGTAGCTGTGGATTCTCTATCCCTGGAAGTGTTCAAGGCCAGCCTGGATGGGGCTTTGAGCAACCAAGTCTACTGGAAGGTATCCCTGCCCAGGRCAGGGGGATCAGAGCTAGGTGATCTTTAAGGTCCTTTTCAACCCAACCCATTATGTGATTCTATAAGGGAACAATCTGAGGGAAACTTCAATGCATGTGCTTATTTGTATGAAGAATCATGTTTTGACCCAAATTTATAAGTGGAATTTTGAATTGTTTCATTCATTATTCTGAAAAACAGCAAAAACTTTGGAYATTTTTTAAAAAGTGTAGTCAGTCTTACGAGTGAAAGAGAGAATCTAGATTTAAAAAGCATGCCTTTTTTGTTTTGGTTTTTGTTTTGGTTTTTTTTTTTCCCAAAGGGAAAAATATCCTAGGCTTTTTAAGAAGTGACTGATTTTTCAGATCTTGTGTTCTACAATTTCACAAGTAGATCCCAAATGTAATTTTTWAAAAAATATCTCTAGTGCTGATTAGGCAAACAGACCAAGTTTTAGGTACTACAAGTAATTTCTGTTCCTAACAGCCTTCTTTGTCCTTTTATGAAAAATTTGGATTGTTACAGACAGGGATATSAAAAGAACAGGAACACATCAGTACTGTCACAGCCCTAACATGACTAATTATTTGCTCTCTAAAATAATCTGGCAAAAGTCAGTAATCTGAGCATGCTGGGATTAAAGAAGGTGTTTCATCTTTCCCATCTGTTAAGGATTACCCACTAGAGATAGCACAACAGCAGATGGTGGAAAACTGTTTCAGGTAATTTACCAACCTTTGGTTTTGTCATGGCAAAAAGGTGTTTTTCAGTCAATTTGTCCTTWGTCTGAGCATTGTTCACAACCAGCATAAAATCATCTTGATAGCCTCCRAAAGTCATCAGGCTCTTATATGTGTATGTAACTGTTAATCGCTGAAAAAATGAAACCCCCAAAACAAAACACAAAGCTTTAATGCAGGACAATGCAAGAAAAACAGTTTATGACAAATCCTTCTTCTAAAAATAAAATTACACATACATTTTTCAGCGGAGTTAGCCTCTTAAGAATCTTGAAATTAACTGTGAATGTGGGGTAGCTTCATTCAGACCTTTATGATGAGAAATTTGCACTGTAGATGATAACTCTTCTAAGTTTGACTTCTGTTGCTATTACAAATTAATTAGATCAAAGATAWAAGCAGAGTTCAATTCAAGTGTGTAATTCCATTTACCCAAGTCTTGACTGACTTTGAGAGAAGTTAATCTTACTAATTCCATTTGAAATTGGAGCACTGTCTAAATAAATTAAAGGGCAGAGTATAAGGCATCTAAAGGAATTTAACTCTAGGTTTT